CACCCCCTTGCCCCGGGTTCACCCTTCCGGTCAGTCCACATCCAATGAAATGAGTCTTTGGGCGAGAACTACGGGTCATCTGCAACCCATGGACGCGGGCCAACGTCCAAATGAGTAACTGATCGTGTACGTACCTCTGTTGGAGATGAGCAGGGGAAACTTGTGCAGAAAAAACCACCACTGACAGGCCACCACTAGCAGGCCCCTGTGGCCCTATCTGCTGTGACGGAAATGAGGCGCTGGGATTGAAGTTTTTTTCCTTCTTTTCTTTTGAACAAGCTTCCCGTCCGTCCCTTCTCGGCCATTTGCATCGTTCCCGAGTCCGCAAAAGGAGATCAACGAGCTCAGGCCAACGGCAAATCCTCATCGACGCAGGGGTTCTAAAAGGTTTCCTAGGTGTTGCTTGTTTGAAGGATTGCTTGATCATTGATGTGTAACTATTCGTACGAATACGTGCGTGTAGGTAGATAATACGTGTGGTGAATGACAGAGTGAGGTGATGCAATGTCGGCGCCCGGCAAACCATATCGACTTGGCCTACGTTGCTGCAGACGGGATTGTCAGATAATCAGCAGAAAGGCAGGTGGCAGCCGGGCCAAAACCTGTTGTTGGCTCTACTGTCCAATCCAATGGCCAGCACCGACTTGTATTGGATCCATCGAACCCCGCAGATGATCGTGGACGGGAGGGTGCTGCTCACCTATTCTTGGTAGCTTGCAGCCGGACGAATTGGCGTGCTTCGATAGTGCAATACAGATAGGTATGTAAAAAGCGTAGTGTTGTGTTCTCGGCCTTGTCGTGCTTGGGTTGGCTCTCAGTCTCAGGTACGAATCTGTGTGCAAGTAGACGTGATTGCCACCTGGCTGCAGCCTGCACCGTCAGATAGGTAGGTGGTACGGAGTACTCCGTATGCTAACCTAAGCAGCTTAGGTGGCACGGGTGGCTTGTGCTTTCTTTCTTTCCCCCGTTCTTCGTGCTTCCTTCCCAAACTTCCCCAACCCGACACGGTGACACCCCGTCTTTTCCCACACCTGCCCGTCTTGGCTCTGTTCCTCTTGGCAAAGCTTATCACTCGTGGCTGGCCAGCGATCTTGGCGATTGCATTTCCCTCTCATCCGTCCTTCATCGTCCCTTCCCTTTTCTTTCCCGTCCAACCCACCCACCTTTCGTTGCTTTTGACTGGCTGAAGCCTGAAGGCGCGGGGGCATGCCGTTAGGTTCTCGTTGCCGTTGCCGTTGCCGTTCCTGTCGCTTGTGCCGGCGCGCGCCTGTGCTTCCGTCCTGATCCTCCCGTCTCCAAGTCCGACGGATGTCTCCTTTTTCTTTTTCTTTGCTGTCGCCCGTTCCAGACGAACCGCATCCGTCACCGGTACTAGGCAGCCCGGCGCACACACTTTTGACACACAGCTCCAACAACATAATCAGCCCATACGGCTACTTTCCCCTCGTGACACTGTCGCAGTCTTTGGTTTTCACGGTCCGCATTCTGCTCCTGTTCAACACGGATGCAATTCTACGAATCAATGAAGCATTTGCGTCCTTTTTCTGTGTTCCTGGTCGTGGAACCCCGCATCGTCCAGCTTCATTCAGTCTTAGCTAAGGTGCACATGACTTGCTGGAAAGGCCGGCCAAATTAAAGTGAGGCAAGCGGCCGAGTCTCGACTCTCACACCCAAACCCCGCCGGCCGACACGCGACACACTCTCTGCACTGGCCAGCAAACGACCGTCTACCTCGTCTCAAAGCTCGTCCATCTATTTGTGTAGTCTTTTTGACCGGAGAAGCTAATTGATTGAGATCTAACTCGGAATGGAAAACACACGACGCGCTAGGGACTCCCACCAGGAATAGCACTATAGACAATGTGATGCCGGCACCATGGCCCAGTCTCTACGCCTACTCTCATCTATCGTAGAAGGCCAAATGCTGACCTTTGGAGTAGCCGTTGAGATCTAATAGTATACGACTCAATCTTCATATCGTCCAGGTTCACAGAAGTCTGTACCGGTCTGGCTTGGTCCCATTGATGTCTTCAATGACAGGGAGCTAACCGAGTTCAAAATTTCCTGTTCCAATACGCTTTGATCGCAATGAGAACTGATTATTGCTGAGATCCGAACAAATCAAGATGAGTATCTCGAGGTTGAGGCTGAAAGCGCTCGGAAAGTTCATCTCAGACAACAATAAGGCTCCGACGAGACCTTTCAAGCCAGTGTCACATCGCCTGGCCAAACACATGGGCTGGCATGAGGGCACCTTGTGCGCCGTGGTCGAGTGGAAGTCGTCTCAGTCTCAAAATACGGATCCCGGCTACACAGTCGTAGTCACTTCTTGTTCTACAGAGCCAACGCTGGCGAATCGAACTAGACAAGCGACGCCGTCTACCTCGCCACCAATGCGGGTTACCATTCACCGGTGCCTTTCTAGACCCCAGCTTTTTCGCATTCCCCGTTCCGAACCTTTTAGGTTGATATCCGAGGCGCTATTCGCCGCGAGCCAGTTCCTTCGTCACTTGGCCTACGACAAGCCTCCACCCTGTATCGAGACTCTGACCTAGTATTCGTAACTCCTATCCAGGGCGTAATGAAACTCGTTCCCTTGAGTTTTATCGCCAGGTCGAGTGTGTCCGTCGCACTCTGAGGATGTCTGCACGCTGTGTCTACTCGAATCGCGGGTATTAGCCCAGGTCGAAAAGTGATATGCAACATGTGTCCATGGATATGGATGCTTTTTTTGCAGTCTTCACGGTGCACCCAACTACTTTGTAAGCTTCTGCATCTGCTCCGATCGGGAGATCTGGAACGGGTACTTTTTTTTTGCCTTTCGGAATCCGGAAACTGGGTGGCTCCTCACCTCTTGCTGTCAACCACTCCAAAGAGATACCAAGCCGTCTTGGAAAGGAGAAAATGGTCTGACTGAGATTTAGTAACGCGGGCTCTTGGCGATTGCCTCAATAGAGTTCAGAGCGTCCCTCGGCACGCTACCTCTCTTACACTATGCAACACTAACCACCATGACTAAGACAGATTTCACACAAAGTCTACACGCCATCATAACCTAGACCTTCTTCTCAAGTGTCTAAAATCGTCTTGGCCGCTCCCATTTGGGCTCGCTGGATCACGTTGAGACGCTGTAGCATTCCTGGTGGTGTGCAGTCACTCGGGTTCGGTGAGCTGTGCCAATCAAGGGCAGGCAGTGACGCAAGGATCTCTCTCTCTCTCTACTACGACCGAGTATCTATTTCCAAAATGCCAATTTTTCACAAGACCACTTCGAGGCATGATGGGCACATTCCGCTGGAGGCGAAATCACAGCCAAGTGCCTCTCTGCTAGACCAGATTCACCAAAGTCAAAACGTATTCTTAGCATAATTGTCCCTCACACTTCTCCAAATGCCGGCTCATCAAGTTCTTGGCAGCGAGCTTCTAGGTGAATACTTCTCGATAACGAGAGCGATGAGCGCTCCCGTAACTCTATGTCGCCTCACCCAGTGCCCTCACAAAGTAAGCCTCACAGCAGAGATTTCCCACTTCGGATCGTGAACCATCTCAGGGGTATCAATTATACAGTCTCTATGGCAAACACATCTCTTCCCCCCCTCCCCCCCTTCTTTTTGCTACTCTAGGATAGAGTAACTCAACCCTCATTCTCAAACGTATCATTAAGATACCCAACAAAGCTCTCCCTCATCCTCTCCGCACTAAAGTTCCCCACGCCCTCAAGCCCAATGCCCCCCCGATTCAAACCCACAAACGCCCTCCTCAGCCTCTGAAGCTGCGGCAGCCCGACCTTGCGACCAGGAAGCTGTACAACAAGCTCCTTATTCTTCTCCCCTGCCGCTGCTCCCGCCGCTCCATCATCACCCCTCGAGACCCTGACCTCCCCGCCCTCCTCCCCCTCAGCCTGCGCCTCCAAAATCCTCTTGACGACATCCTGCGTCTCACGGTCCAGCACGTAAAGATAATCCCCGCTTGTGTCGCGGCTGCGCTGCACCGTCGCCTGGTTGGGCTTGATGACTTTCCGCCCTGTGCCCGCTACCGCGTCCCAGATGTCGTCGCATACTTTGGCCGTCTGCGCCGCGTCGTCGTCCCAGATGAGGGTGAAGAGGGGGCTGTCCCAGCGCGTCATTGGGTTTGGCTCCTCGTAGCGGAAGACGAGGTTGTCCCAGTTGTCGGCGTCGTAGGGCTGTTGCTCATCGTCGTTGTCGTCTTGCTCGTTCTCGTCCTCTGTGGTTGCCTCCTTTGGAACTTCAGAGGGCTGGCTGTCCGCCCTTTTTGTCTCTTCTGTCGTGGTCGTCGCTGCAGCCGTCTCTCGCCTCCTCAACCTCTCCTCGTTTATCCCCCTAGCCCTCTCAACTCCACATCCAATCTGAAGCACGACGCTCGGCGTCCTCATAGCCTTAGCCTCGCAGTGCAACTGGTACCGCCACCCCTTGATGTAATTCATCCCGTCCAAAACAACGATATCCCGGTCCGACAGCACGCGCTTCACGGCGCCATAAACAGCCGCCCTAGCGTCCTTTTCCGAGGCGTTGGCAGAGCGCGTGTGCGCGCGCACCTTGTTCGGGTCCAGGTCGTATACATCGCGCGATATTGAGAGCGTCGAGTCGGAGATGTAATGAAGTCGGTACGGTGGTGACTGTTTGCTGCTGCCGTCGGCGGCGGCGGCAGCGATGCGTGCTGCTAGGTGGGCCTGTAGCTGTTTTGCGCGGGTCGTCTTGCCCGAGGTCGGGAGACCTGAAACTACGATTAACTGTCACAGAGTAAGCTTTCTTTTCTCGCGAGTCCAGAAGGGGAGAAGACTCACCGGCATGCCTGCTGGCGGTTCGTGAGTTGAGGGATTGTGGTTGAATGTGAGTGACAGACTTTGGCGGGGTTTCTGGGGATTTTTTGCGCCTGCGATCAGCTACCCCACCTACCAAATCGGGACTTCAGTCATTGGGCGCAGCTTGCAGGTAAGTTGCAACATAACTTCACGTGGTTCATGAGCAATTACAGAGGAGCATACGAACAAGGTGTAATGTATTGAATCTCGATACTTTCGAGTATGGGTATCATGAGTCTTAACTTCTCTTAACGCCTGGACCTTCCTTCAAACTGCAATCCTAACCTTTTCCCATCGTGCACGAACACTGTTAGTCGTCCATATTCTCGTCCTCGTCTTCGTCACCTTGAGGTTCATGAGCGCCCATGATATCAATATAGAGAAGCATGCGCTCTCCCGCCAGATCCATCATCTCCTTGGCGTAAATGTCCCGCGGACTAGGTCCCTTTTTGCCTCGGCCCCGACGACTAGGGGTCGTCGCACTCCTCCGATTCGTACCCTTGGCCTTGGCCTTCCGTGCTTCGATTCCCTTAAGCGCGGCTTTTTGGAGCCTGTTTCTGGCTTCCCGAATCTCCTCCGCCGGCAGCGTGTGGAGCAGGCTCTCAAGGATCAGTGCCACCCTGGCGTTGTCTTCCGGGTCGATGGTATTGGCATGGTGGCCCAGATAGCACAACTCGAGGACGTCTGCGTTGATGATGATGCCGCTATCCTCCCCCTTGATGACCTTCCTTGGGTCTTCATATCCGGAGGGCAGCAATTCATCGAGCTGAACAGCTAGGAAATCGATCTTGAAAGCAGCCCCATATCGCTGTATGTACGAGCTCATGTCGGTGACGAACTGGTGAAAGAATGACAGGGGTTGCTGCTTGAGTAATCTGCACAAGTCCAGTGCATATTCGTTGTGGTCCATGAACTCCTCGGGCATATTGTAGGCAACCTCCGACAGGAGTTCCATCAGTCTCAAACGGAGAGGGATCGAATCTGCAAGTGGGGCAGCGACCGCATCGCCAGCTTTCCGAGCTGGTGTGCGTGGGGTAGGCGTTCCCGGCATGCCCGCCTCGGAAGGTTCGTCATCCGTCAGCTCTTCGTTGAAATAGTCGCCAAACTGGTCATTCTCGATATCAAGCGTAGTCATGCGTTTTCGTTTCTTATCCTCGCTTGGTAACCCCTTTGTCTCCTTGTTGAACACTTCGGGGAACTTGGCCAAGGATGAGGTGCAACCGTCAGCGAAGACGGCTTGGAGGATCATTCTCAGAGCACCCCGCCCAGAGTTAGTCTTCTGCTTGATGTACATGACAAGGATCGACTCTCGCATGTGCGTCCAGTCCTGAGGTTGCTGCGACGAGGCCAGGGATTCCTCGTCTAAGCGCTTTCGCTCGTAGATGTCGGTCTCGAGAACGTCGATCATGAACTGCAGCCACGTTTTCCAGAAGCGCCAGCGGTGGGGGTGCAGTCTGCTGCAGTTGAAGGCCCAACCGAGGACAGCCCAAAAGTCTTGCGCACGCTGCCATATGCTGTCCTCATTGGCCAGCTTGTTGTTGCCGATCTGATCACCGTCGAGGTCCTCGTCCTCCTCATCATGGTATCGGTTTCGGCGGCCGTACTGGACCCCGTGGAACTGGAACGCATTCCTGAAGCCGGCGTTGATGGGACCAACGATAGCGAGCAAGTTGCGCAGGTAGTCCAGTGTCTGTGAGCAGACCTCGAGACGGTCGGCGCCAGGGGCTCGAGTCGTATGGCTCGGGTGGATGGTCAGGGTGTTGAGGAGAGCGAGGTGGGTTAACGGAGGGACAGGGACGCGCATCGGGTTGGTGTTGATCTTTCGCGAGTACCCGGCAGTGAGGAGGCTGTTGTACAGGCCGAGTGCGCCATTGTCTAGATCGTTGTCAACATATGTCGTAAGGAGGGAGAATAGCTTGCTAACGTACAAAGGTGTTCTTCTAGGTAGATCTGGCAATGCTCCTTCAGCTCACGGGGGAGCAGGGTCGCGGATGAGTACATGCGTTTGGGAGATGCGGGACCTGTGATAGTCGGTTTTTCGGAGGTGGCATCCGGTGATTGAAAGGCCGTTCTGAATGAGTCTGGCGATGATAGGGCAGATAAATCCGTCAAGGACGAGGAGAGCTCCATCGCGAGCTGCATGGGGCTGGACGCGTCTGGCGACGCGGTTGGAAATGTCCCACTATCGTCAATTAAAGTCGGGTTGGGCAGGGGCCCATAAGGCCCCTGGTCAGTTTGAAACCTTACATTACATAAGGTATCAGCTAGCATGGGCCCATCGTGTAAGCTGGCAACAGCTGGTCACAGCTTTACTCACAATGGCACGCCGCTTGCCTGGTCAACAGCAAGGCACATAGATAAACCACATGTCACTTGGTAATGCCCAGGTGTATGGGCATATCGGAAAGTAATGAAATCAGTTTAAACAAATTAAACAGGAACTCTGCTGCAGTAGCGACTTGATGGAAGGCGGGCAGGTGAAGCAGGCTGAGGCGACTGTCTATGACTTACATGGGCGGGCCTTCATCCAAGTGCCCCCGACGACTTCAAGGGACGAGGTGGGCAACACAGCTGAGTGACTTGATTCCATCTTAACTGAAGTAGTCTTATAGTAAAGCTACATGGATGATAGCGCTGAAAGTGTTCACCACGAATGCCTGCCTAATTGTTAATAGTTCGACTTTGCGGGGTATTTCTGGAAGATGGGGTTAACATCGAGCACAATTCAAGCGTGATGAGTTGTCCCATATTTTCTCTTATTCCCTTACAATATCTCAACTTTATGAAATTACTTCTAAACTCCTCACAGCGAGTGTTTAACCGTGGTGTCAACCCTAATACACCAGATGAGGGTGGGATCACCCCGCCTCCAGTCATGTATGCTTGTGCGAACATCACTTGAGCTCCTCAAAGGCCTCCTCAATAGTTTCATTCTCTCCATAACAAATTGCGAAGGCCGTCCGAGCATAGTCATTCGCTGTTCCGCATAGATCAGGGGCTACAGTCTTGTACGCGTGGAACATAACGAGGAAGGCCGTTACGTTGTGCTCGCCAGGTGGACCCCACTTGATGACCTTCAGATGAGGCTTGGTGGATAAGTTTGTCGCTCGGCTAGCCTCGATAATGAAGCCACGAGCCTCGAGGCTCTTGATCGATAACTCGAGAGCTTCAATAATTTTTCCCCTGCTCAGTTGCTTCTGCCCGAGCGCAAGGTACGAATCCCATAGCTCTAGACGGTAGGATCCTTTCCTGGCGGGGTAAGTCTCCTCTAGCTGGCCAAGCAGCCGTTGTGCCTTGGACTCATGGGCTAGAGTCTTGCAGTTTTTCATGGTGCTCTTCAAGTCTCGGAAAAGGCCTTGGCGTTTTTGGAAGGTCGACTTCGAGATCAACTTCTTCTCTTCGCACAACTCACATTGGCAAATGAACCCCCAGTTCTGCAATTTCTTCTGGGTTTGGTCATGGCTAGCACCTTCATCGGTCATCCGGTAGCTGATCAGCAACTCCGTGCCGGCTTCTATGTCTCTCGAAGCTCGTACCATCATCACGTCTCCAATGAATGAGCGGCGACAGTTGCCGACACATGAGTGGTTGATATGGGACGCCTGAGTCCAAATGCCGCAGGTGGTGTAGCTTCCTTGTTCACCTCCCTTATCGCTCAAGTTGAGGATGGATGCTCGCGGTGCACCGAAGCAGTTGAGACTCACGATCATCGCGACAAGGAACCTGTGATAGAGTTAGCGCCGATTATTCTACGTTCATCCACGAGAGCACCACCTACGTATCAACTACCCTCTGAATCTGCTCTGCAGTCTCGCCTGAGCGATACTTCCCGCGGTGCAAGTCGAAGAAACGAGAGGCAGCCTGGGGGTTGTGATGCAGCTTCTGTACGAGGCCGGAGAGAAGATCTGCCTGCCCGCCCATCGCCATCCTCTTTGTGTCCCAGCTCATTAGTATTTTGATGTTCTGGCGACCAACAGCATCATCGTCACCAGCATAGCTGTATGCAAAGGCTTTCTCGCACAGTAGAAGATCGCCAGCCTTCACTGGCTTGGAAGTAAACAGTCCTCGTCCACGTCCAGGGGAGTGGCGCACCTCGACAGGACCAGTGTAGGTCGCACAATCGACCGTAGGCGGAGTGGCCTCGGCTTGGGTATGCATCTGCTTCCACTGGTAAATCCCCTGTTCTTGCTCGCGAATGCGACATAGAGTCCGCTCGAGTTCCTTCTCTGCGTCTCGGTTTCGGGGGTTCAGTGCGACTACTTGGCGTAGCTTCTCAGAGCATAATGAAAATTGTTCCAGCGCATAGTGGGCCTTGGCCTCTCGGAACAGTCCTTTCTCGGTTGGTCCATTGTTCTGTCGGCTTTCAATCGCGTCACTCAGTGCCTTCTCTGGGCGATGAAGCTTAAGATTTGCCAAGGAACGGTTGAGGAGCGCTGCGCGCTTCTCTGCAGGCGTGCTAGCAGAAGCGAGCGCCTTGGAATATCTAATCCGCGATTAGCAAAAGATTTCTCTAAACAAGAGTCCGCCTATTCACTCACAAGATTTCTGCTTTCCCCCATTCTTGCTGTGCCACAGCAGTGTTCCCTTGCTGTCGGATCTTCTCGGAGTTGGCACCAGTCTTCCTGGTCCTCCACTGCGACGGGATGCGTTCGTCGCCCTCGGCTAGTAGGATGATGTCGCCAACATGGTCCACTCGTAGGCTGTATTTGCCGTCTGTAGTCACCTTGAAGAATGGGTCCTTGATAATACAGATGCTGCCTTCAGGGAGCAGGTCGTCAGGTTGTATAGCCGTGTGATCTGGTTGATTGTAGACTTGAAGCAAGACAGGAGTGCCTGCCTCGTCTTCGGCAATGGCCATGATTGCGTTGATTTGATCCGTGGGCGTCATTGTCCGAATAATAACTCGCTTGCCTCGATGGTGCTCTTCCAATCTCATCTTGGAGATTGGCAGAGGCTGCAGCTCGTTTGCAGGCTGGATGCAGGGGAGATATGCTGGCGGAATCTGAGTGGTTGCAAAATTTGACCCTCCACTCGAAGCTTCCGGGCGTGATAGACGCATTGATCTTGCCATCATGAACTGCATCACAAGCATGCCGGGCAAAGGGTGATCGTGGGGAATCTGTCCTTTTCTGCGACTGGCTCGATCCGCGAGGACTCGGAGCCTTTCCGTGAAGGAGGCAAAGTCGTCGATATCAGAAACGTCCTTGATGTCCATGGCGATTAGAAGGTGATGTTACGCGTCGATGTTGATATTGTTTATCGTGTGGAAATTCGCAGAGTTGTCATTCGAGGTGAGTGCGGTGGGTGAAGTAAGAAGAGAAGAAGTAAAGCAAAGTAGGTCAGAATTGTGTTTTGTTCGAAAGTGAATGAATACGTGATTGGGTATTCATGTATCTGTTGGTCGTATGCAGGAGGCCGACCACCTGTGGGGAATGGTGTTAGACACAACTCTATGGCTGGAAGGCAGCCTTATCTTGGGTGGTTAGGTAAAGTATCAGAAAAACTCGACTCTGATGCTAAGTTTGACAGTAAGGTGTTAGTATCAGCCAGTCTACCAAGCCCGATCAATCTGCAATATAGATTCCTACCTTCAGATACCTACTTACCTACCCATTGGATCCATCCATGATGAACAAAAACCAATAGTGGAGGCAATATCTGAGAGGAGAATCACACTTAGAGAAAAGCCTTAGGTCTTAGAATCCCAACCAAGGTAGCCATCGATTCCAATCTTATGCATGGTGACTCTCAGTCTGACGAAGGCTCTGGATGCGAGAATAGGCAGGTGAGCTCTTTCTTCTTTGTGGCCATAAAGCCACCATGGTTCAAAGCGTTCTTGCACCACAAATGTCTTCACATAGTAGGCAACTTGCCTTACGGTAGCTAGCGTATGCTTCATCCCTTTATCGTTCAGTATGCATGAACGCAAGTCTGATATAGACACATTGGTCAATAGGCAAGTAAAATGACACTTGCCACAACATCCGAAATTTCTAGGTCATTACCCGCACCTTAACATATAAACATGAATTTCATGGCGACTATAATGATGAACCGAATCAATCTAAAGGTGGAACTAGTGGTCAAAAAAATACGCAGAGATATCGAAAAGGGAAACGGGTGAGTTCTTGTTGCCGTCTATCAGGTGGTGGTGTTACTTCGCCACGACATGCTTACCCCTCAGCAACCATGCACCAGAGTCTTCCAGCGTTTTCTATCACCCTCCGTCATCTCAGCACCACATATACAGCTTTAAAAGAACGATCTGCTATCTGTCATGCCATGTCGGAATAATTCTGATTGCCATGTGACCCGTCTGGCAGTGCCTGAGTTTGATCACATTCAACCCGGCAAAACCGAGCTTCAAATCTGAGGTCTGCCATCGTCCCCCGAGACTCTCAAAATAGGACACATGACCAAGGAAAAGACATAGTACCGAGTGAAGATATCTGTATAAGATAGACATCACTGTATTGCTATGCTGGACTATGTACAGTGATGTTATGCAACACTGACTCTCGTAGGAACAACACCAACAGCGGGCAGCACGGAACAGGTGAGCACCCATGCCTCTAATCTACTCCCTGCATCAAGACGTCTTACATATGCCTCAGTCCATAAAAGATGCAGTCTGGACCTGCTCTCAAACGTCCCCCGAGCCTCGTTATCAGGGACCCGCCAGACGACAACGGGTGGCCCAACATCCCGCCGCTCCCTCTCCCATCTCCGATTAGTCCCCTCCGCAAAGGGCGTACATCCGCCAATACGACATGTCACGATTGCCTAAAGCGGATTAAGGACGCCTGGCATTGGCTGAGAGGGTCATTCACTCGCTGGAGAAGGGGTGGCCGCAAGAGAAGCCCCGTAGCCGCATGAAGGCGTGTGTGTGTGTGTGTGTAAGTGTGTGAGTGTGTGTGTATAGGTAGATTCCCGCCTACAGATGCCTAACAGAGATGCTGTAGCCTTCTCTTCTCCTATCGTAACTGTGAGCGTGGTGTGTACCCCTCCCCTAATCTCGGAACCATCGTCGTCCTCCAATGATATCGTTATAGAAATGTCCCAAAACGCCCCTCTGTATGCAAGATCCCGCAGCTGTCTTTAGGGCTGCACAGGTACACATGCTCTTATGTGTCCTGCAGCCCTATGCCCGACATCGTGCCATTCTGAAATAAGAACTAACCAACCCGTGTCCACCCATCTAGTAAAAGTACAGTTTGTCTGTTCGAGCCAATGGAGCGCCGTGAGGCAGACGACATGCTCCGGTTGTGTGGTGTCGCCTCTTTCATGTTGTGTATATTCCCGTGAATGCCGTCGATAAAGTTATGTTTATTTGTTTGTTTCATGGCAGTGTAGATTGAGTTGGCTTATCGACCGTGGGCTGTCGAAGCATTAGTCTCAGAGCCATCATAAGAAGGCGTTGCGTTGCGAAGAACTTACTCGCGTCGTTGGGGAAAGTCTCGTTTTCGCCTTCACCCTGCTTGAACATCTTGGGGGTAGAGTAGGCAACAGTAGCGTTCATGTTGGCGGTTGGTTGTAAGAGGATTGAGGATTGGATATGAGTCGAAGTAGGATGAGGCAGTGTAGTCTTGTGATGAAGAAGTGTATGACTGTTGGTCTGAAGTGTAGTGTGATGAGTCTGAACAAAAAATTCAAGGCATCAAGATAAGGTATTGTCAATTCATTTATATCAACAACTGACGGACCAACGGACCAACAATCGAGCTTCATATCAGACTAACCTAAGGTTGAGTCACTCAACTTAGGCAGGAGTATGCCTTCATAGGCAGACAAGACAATCTGAGAGGTTCAACGACGAGTGCCCCTAGTCGTTACAAGTCACCGTGCACTGCCATGTCAAACAATGACAATGACATTTCATATGGAAATACCATATCTTGCACGCGATTGCGCATTCTCGGTATGGCGATCCTGGTTCGGCAGCTATGAGATTCCTAATAATCTAGGCAATTGCGCATTGTGATTCGTCTACGACGAGGGTTACAGAGATCTAAGCCAGGATGCCTTAAAGTCGAGTATCAGGTATTGGACCCCTACAGATGGTAGGGCCAGCGGCAGTGCGAGGCAGAACAAAGACAAAATGAGTCAGGCGGGTGCAATTGCAGTGACATTCACCAGGGGAAATATGACCCCTCCTTCCCGGAATGGATGAAAAGAAAGAGAACATGACCGCGGCCTCAGAAACGCATCGACGTTTGCAGAATGGAGGGGTTGGGAGACGACTTGGTTGCCTGGGTTAAGACGTGTTTGGTGACGGGGATGACATGGGGGTCCTAGACGGTCTGAGGCAGCAACCCCCCCCATATTTCCAGGCATGAGGGAGTTCGCGCCCTAAATGCAGTGCTCTTCGGTGATAAGGAGAAGGGAAAACTACTCCAACGCCAACGGAGTGCCAGGTCTCGTCACTAGCAATGGTATGTGTGCGCCGTTGCGTATGACTGACAAGGCATCGAGTTGCTCATTGTGGCTTTGCGCCTCGGTGTAAAACGTCTAGGGCGCAAACGCGCCTTTGCGCGGAAGGGGTAGGGAAAAGTTGGAAAAAATGGAACAACAACGACAAAACAACCTAAAGGTACGTCAGGGCAATGCTATCACTGCCCGTGTGACTGATACCGGACAAATTGGGCAACTCTCGACAAGCATTACTTGGTCCGGTGGTGAGTCGAAGGCCTCAAGGCTGACTGGAACATGTTGCAGGTGAGGCTTGCGAGTAGGGGCACGGAGAGGCGGCAGAACAGTCATTGCAAAATTCGGAGTATGTCGGAAATCACTCCCCCATTACATTTCTCGGTAACGGGCTCCGTCTTGATTGACGGAGCCAGGACCCCAAGAAACATCAAGTAGGAGGCGCAGCCCAGTTTCCCTCTAGCACTCAAACTGACCGATTACAAGTGGAAGAAGTTACGTCGAGATCGGTTGATTATTTTGGTGCGAAGTGTGTAAAGAGGAAAAAGAGGTCGAGGAAGGGGGGAAACGTGGTTCGCGAGCAATAAGGGGTGTCGTTGCCTTGCCCGCTGCCTGCTAAGCTTGAACCAATCAGGGCTAGCATGTAGTCAAACCCCGTGACATGGGAAAACGACGGCGTCTCCACATTTCTCGATCTAGTTTTTTCTCGCAAAGTATATTTTCACGCGTCCCTCTTCCCTTTCCTCAATCTCCTGTTCTTGACCTCAACAGCATCAACAACAGTTTCGCGGGCCACCCAGGCTTGGGATTCGGATCTTATGCATGGTCCTTTTCAGTCTTCCGAATGGCGTTAGACTACCCCGTGATATCACACACTGGGCAGCCTGCACCTCGGTCCTGAACCCAGCCCGTCGTTAATGGCCCTGAGCAAGTGCTGAAGTCCATCGACACGGAGGCGCACGCGAGCTCGTTCCAACGTTGAGTGTGATTTTACACCGGTCTGATGACCAACCCCACGATATGCCTACACCTCGCGATCTTACTGCGCAAGAGTGTCAACTACTTTTTTATTCGTTCGAGTGGGAGAACAAATCCAACGGTCTAGACAACCGGTCCGCTCCACCCTGATACCGTCGAGATAGTGCGGCTTCAGGACTAAAATCGGACAAACATATCACATGGCATCTCGTACTAGTTGCAAGTTTTGTGTTCTAAATTTACCTTGATTGGTATCATTATAGTAGAGAGTCATTATTCCTAAGCCCATGCCACCAAGTCGTGACTGCCATCAGATACATGTGAGGGGTATTCCGACATCCTCTGCGCAAGAATTGCAATCCCATTCCATTCCTCGCGTTGTATTAAAACCCCTGTTAAACCCAGTTCTCACCGAAGATGTACTTTTCGTCCATAAAAGACAACAAGAATTTGGACACAAGCCGACCGGTATAGTTGACCGATACGTCGCTTGGAAACGGATGGTGGGCGTCGTCGCTTGGTAGGATTGGGTCCTCCGCCAAGATTCCTAGTTCCTCGCCTGAAAGTCGCAAGTCAGCATTTCGCATTCGAACATCGAGTTCCTGGGCAGCCTACCGTTCTGTTGAATCAGATTATTCAGGCCCAAGACCATCTCGATGGCTGGTACGTCCAGATCACCTTGCTCGGCCCATGAGTTGTCACGCATAGGATTGAACGGCTTAGTCGTCGTGTCCCGGCTGTGGGTCTGGTAGATCTGGTGGAATTGGTACGCGAACTGCTTGAACGGCATGTTCTCGACCGCCTTGTTGATATTCAGGGCGTCCTGGCGTTTGTATTCCGGGGGCGTGTGGTTGCGCATGCTGATCTCATTGAGTGCCACGACAAAGTTATCCGCAGATGTCTCGACCGATTCCATGAATAGGCACAGTACCAGAAACGAGGCCATGCATGGCGCCCACTCCTGTTTCGACTTGGGCTTGAGCAACTTTGAGAAGGACTCGAAAAGGTGTTGCATGTCCCTCATCAGGAGCTCGTCAATCACCGCCTTGATCTGCCTGTTGACGACGCGCGGCGTCACCCAAGGTACTTCCTGAGGGACGAGACCGGAGTCCTGAAGGCCCACGACGCTCTGTCGTGTGATGCAGAGATGGCGGGTCATGACGAAATGGGCGCCGTAGATCGCTAACGCCTTCTTGACCATCGTCGACTGGATCGGGTCAACCAACGCACATACACAACACAAGCGAACGACAACTTACATCAGACTTGTTGGCGTATGTTTGCACAACATCCAACACCTTCTTTGGCAACTCCGTGTGCCGTATTGACTCCGTCACTGACTTTGTGAACCTCGGCTCGGCTGCGATGGCGGCAAGGTACTCCTTCACCTTCTTCCTCAAAGCCTCCTTCTGAGCTGATGAATCCAACTCCAACACCATGGGCGCCGAACCTCTGGCTTGCAGGTCTACGCGATCTTTTTGCACGTGCAGGTGGTAGTGCTGTTGCACTTCCTCTGTCCGAGGCTTGAAGAACCTCGCCCGGACCTTGAGCGACGCCGGGAGACCGGAGAAGAGCTCAACCTCACGAGGGGCCAGTTGCACCGCGTCAACGTCGACGTTCTCCGCCATGAATTTCGACATTTGATCCTTGCGGAAGTGGCTGCGCATGAAGTCGGGGAACAGCACGGTCAAAAAGTCGGAAAATTGCCAGCAAACGACCTGCGGCACCTGGCCGGCGAGCTTTTTACAGCTCTTGCAAGGTCTCTGCGAGTCACACTTGACTTTGCGGCTGTGGCAGCAAAAGCAAGCACCTAAGCGGCGGACTTGCAGTGCGCTCTCCTTTGTCGCGTTCGCCAGAGGCCCCTTGCGACCACGCGTTTGGATCTTCATGGCCTCGAAGCACTCCCACGGGTTGGGACGGCCCGAGGAGGCATTGATGGAGTTGGGCGTGACGATGACGAATTTGTTTGCAGGTTCAGTGGCCTTCTTCTTCTCGACCTTGCCGGTGATGACCTTGCGGATCTGGTGGGCCGACGCTGCCCTGTCGCCCTCATGCTTGAGGTCTGGGGAGCTGGAGTTCGACTGGGAGGAGCTTGTGGACGTGGGGCTTTGAGACGAGGATGCGGAAAAATCCTCCATCAGAAACATTGAGCTCCCATTGTCGACTTTGAGGTTCGTGGAGTTCCAAGGGCCCGGGTTGATACTGGTTGATAGGGTCTGTGACAGGTCGATATCGCCATCGTGCTGTTGGGGGAATGTGTCTAGGCCGGTCAGGGAGGTATTGTTCGATTGGAATGAGTTGACAAAAGATGTCAGTTCTGAGAACAAAGCTAGTTAGCTAGGGTATACGTCAAAGTCGGCCACGAGTAGCGGCATCAAGACTAACCATTCAGGTTCAGCTGCTCCTCTGCAAAGAGGAAGCCCTGCGGTGTCAAGAAATTGGATTCCTGGCCGCTGGGAACGAACTGGCTATCAACAGACGGCGCCGGGGCGGCAAACGCCTCTGCTTGGTCCGGGAAGCTCGAGGCGGAGAAGGCGGGCTGGTCGAGGTCGAGATTTAGCGGGGATAGGCCCGCCGGGTCCGAGCCGGCATGGTGGCCGACGACTGCGAAGCCGTTGAGACTGCCACTTGCCGGGCTGGGCAAGAAGCCGACTGAGGCCGGTAATGAGGCGTAGTCGAGATACTGCCACGATTCTTCGGTGTCGGCCGCGGACTGCACATCGTAAGGCGAATGAGGCGTGGGGCCCCTCGAGGAAACAGAAGCCATTGCAATGTCTATGAGTTGGCAGGACGTATAAGTGGCCAACCGTGAAGTCGCCCGGCGCTTTCAATCCGCTCGGTAGGTTCGATTCGATGATTCCGTAGCCCCTTGTGTTTCTTCGAAGAACCGAACAACAGGTCCTTGTTTCCTCCCAAACGTCGAATGGCCAGCCTTCCGGGGGGGGCTGTGTCTGCTTACGCTCAATTTCGGAATTGGCGCGGGGGTCACTCTCTCTGGATGAGCGAAAAATGCCAGGACTCGTCTCGGTCTTTCTCCCTTTCAACACTCGACAACTCGGAGTCGCGGTTTTGAATTGTCGTCGGCCGGACTCGAGCAGAAAGTGTCAATCTCGCAGAGTTGCCCTTTTCTCACCGTTCTTTACCACTCGGGAAAGTCATGCAGGAGAGCGGGAACGAAGAAGAGACGGTGCGAAAAGGGAAGCCAACAAGATTAATACGAGGGGGGGGAAACGGCGCTGTCACACACTCACCCCATGACAGCAGAACGAACAGCGCGACCAGTAAGCAGCAGGGCCGCAGCCATCCCGCGCAGTCCCCGTCAACCTGTAAGGTACTTTCTTGTGGGCACGCTGTGCTGTAGCGCTGCTGAATGAGCTGGTCCTAGTCTCCGCTCCTTCGGCCCAGCTGAGCCACTAGTCCCTTTCTGGGACCGAAGATGGGTCCATCGATTCACGAATAAGAGTGCTCTAACCCGATCCATCACCGGCCACTCACCGGGGGCCCGGAGGCGCGGGAGGATCCTTTTGCCGCACCGGTGGCCGATGGCCGAAGCTGGTTCCGGCTCCTGCCACCGGAGAGCGCACGGGGTTCCGTGACAACCTGGAAGCCTGGCGCCTGGAAGGGCCTCCTGGAAGGGAGGCTGGATTCCAAAATGGTCCTATCGAATCAGGGTGGCATATACGGAAGGCACGAGAAATGACCGACCGACCAAGCTTGTGCACCTATCAGCGTTAACGTTCTGGCAATCGGCAATCGGCACCGTCCCCTTCCCTCTTCCCCCAACCTGACCAACGTTGTTTCCTCCATTCGACCACCGTCGCCTGACAGGCGATTGATCAATGCCACGCCAACCCGTCGTTGAACTTATTTTCATCACGAACCTTTCACATCCGAAAACACTGTTTCTCTTATTCCAATTCTTACAAATCCCTCAGAGATCGACAGTAAAGCTCGCACCAGCGAACCGGCCCGAGCCCCAAGACCCTTGACGATTGACCGTCATCCAACATCCCTCAGGATTGCATCCCGCTCCCCGTCGATATCAAACCCCCTAGCATTCATAACATCAAACCTCGAGAGCGCCTTGACTCAAACCAACCTCCCACACTCCGCCACTCCGCGTCCTGTCGTTCCTCGCATCATGAACCATCTCCAAGCATCCAGATGCATGCATGTAGCAGAGAACAATCGCCCCCCGGATCTACCAGAGTGGATAACCTCCCAACCCGCCGGCGTTCGACCTTCATCCCCACGATACGACTGCGAAAACGCCAACACCATTCTCTGTTTGCCTGCTCCAAGTACAATATCGAGTCCGGCAAGCTGATCGTCATGCCTCCTATCTCATACGACTAGAGCGACACCCAGCATCCCCCGCCAAGATAAGGTTTAGCGCGCGCGGCGCTTGACTAGGACTTACGCGCACATCGTACGCCTGTCCGCCTGTTTGCAAGTCGAAGTTGGCACAGCTCAGACCACAAACCCCGTTCGGCGCGGAAGCTAAACGGGCCCATGCCGCCCGGCACGGCCTCCCCGCCGACGCCGTCGCCCAGGGTCGCATATCGCAACCTGCTCAAGGGGGAGAAGAAGACATGGCTGCTTTTGACGGATTATATGCCGCTCCCGTCGGCATCCTGCCGTTATTCTTAGCCTGCTCCGTTTCTCCTCTAGGCAGCTTGTCCGACACTACACAAGGGCCGGCGGTTTCTTTTGGATTCCCGTTGATGACTAGCGAAATTGAAGGCAGAATATCCAACTACAACAGGCCGGCTATAGCATCGTCGATTATGCTGTCCTCAATCCACCCCGACACGAAACTAGCTCTCACACCTCGAAACAATGATTCAGGATCCCGAGTCCGAAGTTGGCACAGCACCCTCGTCACAGACAGAAGCACGTTCCAATTTTGCCCGGGTAGACCCAGTGAGCCGTGTGCCTGGACGAACCCCCTTCTTTCATTGCGTCCCCCAATCTACTTGGATTGCCCACCACTTCAACTCGATGTAGTGGGAGAAAGTCCCCAAGATAGAACATCCAAACCACCACAACCATGACCGCACACCACCCGTTCAGCATAGCAAACCTTGTTCTGCCACACTGGTCTGCTTATTCACTCTCTAGTCAGCCAAGATTCGAAACCACCTTCTACCGGACTCTAACGTTCTTCCAGAATTCCGCTCCTTTTGCATCCTTGTTTTCCTGCGCTCATGGGCTTTGTCCTTATTCCCTTCCTAGCACCAGCCTGTCTGTTCGCGCCCTGGAATATGCATTATTCGCACTGATGGCAAGGCACAGAGAACTCCATTCTTTGCAGTAATCTGTCAATCGGACGCCGTTATGTGGGCGGTAGAACTGGAGAAGATAACAAAACAGAGCCCAAGCCAGGATGTGGTCTTTTGGCATGTCTGCCATGTGTCCCGGTTTGCTTGTCATTCTTCAACACGACCACACCAGTCCCACTAGCAACCTCATTGCATGCTTGTCTATGTAACCCTACCAATCACCGGAAACTGTAAGTCTACATCATACTATTCATCGGCTTTTTGGCTCGCCTTTGACGTGTTGTCAAGGGGGGCACGCGGCGCAGTCCGACGGGATTCTATGCGGCGCGCAGATCGCATCCCTTCTTTCCCATCCGTCTTCAACTCACTTTTTCAACAGCTTGCTTATCCCCCGGTTTCACTTCTTGGCCCCCCCCCCCCCGGCTCTGGCCCTTCTTCCCCGGGGGACCCATCAGGCGGGATGCGACACAACGGTCTCCCCATTGATTTACAGAGCTCCCCGGGTCGTTTTACGGTTTGCGTTCCCCGTTCTTGGCCTAATGATAGTGTAGGATACCTCCATCGATCGCCGGTGATGGCTCTTGGTGGTCTTTCCCGCCCAAGTCACCCCGTCAGGCACGCAAGCAGGAACCCCATCGGCTGATGATCACCGTTCATTTCAGCCCAACCCAAGCGCCGCCGGGTGTGGGGGGTATCAAAGTCGCACCGATAGGATAGGGGCAGGGCCGACGGATACTTGGGTTCCTGCCACGCCTTTTCTGCGGTTCCTGCAATCATGCCAGGTTTGACAAGCCAGATGGCGTACGGAGTAGCTTTGGCTCCTGGAACATGCGCAGGGAAGACGAGAGCACCACCGCCCCCCACTTGATGGCAGAAGAGTCAGGAGCCGTGCGACGAACAGAGCGCCTCAAGTCATGACGTTTACGAACTGGATACCGGCACATCTGAAGAACACTGCGTAGATTCTTGGCGCTGAGAGAGCGCGCCCAGCCACGGGCTACTATGGGATATCAAACTGCCAAAGGCTCATCTAAGCCGCCCAAACCAAGTGAGTAGAGAAGAAGAAAACAACAATAGTATAGTAGGGATATGTCCAAATTGCTCTCTCGTGAACCGCACACAAACAGAGACAATACGCACAAGCGCGGAAAAAGATGTGCGTAAAAACAGCCATCCGGTAGCCCAGTGTAAGTGAAGGGTGTCTGTCAAAAAAAGATATCACCCCGTTGAAAACAACTCCAGGCCCCCAAACCACGCCGTGGCAGTGCAGAAACGAATAGCAAACCCACCAAAATAACAGTACCAATGTACAAAGAGGTTTCCGCCCTTTCCTGATGAACCTGTAGCGCCCACCGCTTTCCCCATAGTATGCTCATGCCCCCTTTCGCTTGCGAAACCAATTCGAAAAGGGCCAAGTAAAGGCATGTGTCGTGTGTGTGTGTGGTAAGAGGCAATTCGGTCGAGCGTCCCTAGGAGCCACAGGAGGAAAAAAAGAGGTTTTCTGCCCACGATGGAGCGCCATTACCATTTCTCGTACAAAAACCAGATAAAAAACAAACAAGACGCAACTCGCTTTGCCGAGAGGTAGAGCGTTGAGCTAAGCTAGAGCCTGTGGGTGTGTTCTCCTGCGTCGTGCCTTTGGGGGGGTTGTCATCCTGTTGACGTCCCGATTCCGTATCAAGGAGTCGTCTACTCTCTTCTTTTTCTTCTTCTAAAGAATGAGGTGGATTCCGCCCTTCTGCAATAACTTTCAGTTCGTAAGATCCGTAAAATGTCGTAAACAAAGTGCCACGTTGGCCGACAGCTTCGAAACGCTCGCCGTGGTTCGCTACGCACGACGAGGTTGTCGACTTCGGCCTGGGCGAGTATGTGGTAGGAGGAAGCATTCGAGCAGACTAGCTTCTGAACCGCTGTGCAGCGCGATCCTGAATTTGCTTCTCCGTAGAAACGTATAGTCGGTCGAGGTAGTCCATAGCGCTCGCGTCCTTGAGGATCTTGGCTACCTGGATGCCCGCCGAAATGAGCTGTAAAATATTGCGGTCGTCCTTTAATGGGCGACTCTGGTGCTTGGCCGCATGTCGCATTTCCAGTGAATTCTCGAGGATCGTGACAAACTGTTTAATCTGGCCGTTGTAAAGTACTCGCGCGGGAATGCGGCGCTTCGTTGCCAGACGCTTCAAGAGGTAGACCCATTCTGTCCATTCCCGGTCCTGAGGTCTTTCAACAGGTCGCATATCCTGTGTCAAAGGAATAGGGAACTGGTATTTAGCCACAAAGTCATACGCACACTGCGACAGCCTATCGTTGACTTGGGTAAGGACCAAGTCCTGCTCTTGAACGTGGAGGTTGGTGGGGAGATGGGGCAGTTCGCGTTCTTGCATGGCAATGTATTCGGGCGGTGGGCGAGCGAGAAATTGATGCGGGCCGTCGAATTCGTCGCGGTTAGAAGGTCGACGTTGTGGCCGACCCTTGCCATTCACCTTGCTCTTACTCGGGGGAGTGGCGCCGGCCCCGTTCTCGAGGGAATAATCAGAAAGGTTCGGAGATGCAATAATGTCGTCGACCGAGTCCGTCGGGGAGTATCTTTCCTGGTGATCCCATGACTGAGAGTTCGTACTCTTGTACGACCCATAGCCGGCGGCACCACTGGTGCCGTATGTGCCAGAGGCTGGGCGCGATCCGTACGCCGGGGCGGCGGCGGCGGCGGCAGCGGCAACAGCATGGGGGTTGGTCCCGATCGGCAAATTGTAGTTACTAGCTCCTGGCGAGTACGTGGACACGCTTGAAAGGGATGGTGTTACTCGTTTGCTCCTTTGTGGGAAAACATCATGAATAATGACGTTTGGTTCTTACCTCGATGAACGATAGTAGTTGGTATCAAATCCTCCGGCGGGCGGGAATGTATCGTTGTACATTGAACTTTTCTCAACGGTCAGTCACCCCTCCTCGGGCTTTTTGGAAATAAGGAGAGCGGTCCGTACCTCCGCGTCGAGTTCCACGGTCCGTTGGACATGGCTGATGGTCTGTAGGCAAAATCCGGCTGGGCCATATCTTCCGGGGGCATAACGGTAGAGAAAAAAGAAATCAGGCAGCAAAGTCTTTTGGGGTTTCCAAAATGTCCAGAGAAGGAAGCCACGTGAAATATGAATAGTCCTTGGGCGGGCAGGTCAGCCCTGGGTGTCCTAAAAGGGTCCTTTGGGCTGTGATCTTCGGCCAAGTATTCCTGGGAAAATGCGGCAAGTTGTCTCCTCAAACACAAGGGAATCCACGATAACAAAAATGGTCTTGTTCCAGGATGGGACCCTTGAAGAACTCCGGGTCGTTGCAAGGGCGGTGTGCGTGATGGGGGGAAGCAGGTGATCGGTACAAGAAACGACCCGTCTCCACGAAGACACCTTAAATGACTTATAAGATGATCGGGAATGGCTTGACGTGAAAGACACTAGGGGGTTAGTGGGAGATGTCTGATCTTGCTGGCGCAAAACGGGAAAGAAGAAACCAACAAGCTCCTGGGATGGGCGAGGATGGGGGAGCGGGCAGGATCCTGACAGTGGATGATTAAGTTCGGAATGGAGGCATTTATGTCTGCTTGCGATGTCCTTCCTCGTGGGGCGTTGTACTGGAGCGGCGACAATGGTTGATCCCGGTCAAGACAGCAGAAAGATGTGGTCCGCTGGGAAGTCGAGGCGAAGGGAGGACAGGGACCAGGACAGACGCAGGCCGGCGAGACTCGAGTAAAGATTTGCATTCGCCCCAATGACCAACACCATGGAGACGTCTCTGGTTTCAAGCGGGACGGCTGCCGCATGGGCTGGAGGATACGTGACTGCCAAGCGCTGTAGTCCAGAAGGTTCATCTGTCGGGCGTCCTGGAATAGATTGGTCGACGGTGGGCGCCCCAGGACAAGTTGGCATCCATCCCTAGCTTGTCGAGCCTGGTACGCGGCGTGGATCGTGGGCACGACACACGAGTGACGAGGGAGATCAGCGTGCCCTTTGATTGCTGGTGCTGGTGCTTTCCCCCTCTGTTTTCGCGCGATGCCAGGTCGACTTTTTTGACAGTTGGCCCCTCAGTCAAGGAAGACCCTAGAAGGAAGACAAATCTTATGGCCGGTCTGTGTAGGCTCACGCGTGGAGGCCATTGGACGTGCCAACTCCTGACGGAGGACGGAGCCAGTTGTGTAGAGTAGGGCACCGATTGGGCAGTGACAAAAACTCTTCCTTTGCTGGGCTGGAGGATTGTTGCCCGAAAGGTCGGAGTAGCTTTTCGGTTCCGGATGGGATGGTTTGTGCAGGGTTGTACCTAGCGGGAGAAGAAGCGGTGACAACAGGCCGGGTTGGGCACAAATTGGACAAGCAAACACCAACGGCCGATACGATGAGGGGACGCGCGCTACGTGCGAAATGTGCGTGCCCAACCATGCCTTGATGCCCACCTGGTAGGTCGAAGTTGCTTTTGTGCATCATTGAATCAGGAACCATCCGTCGAGTACCCTAAGAGTGGCATTGCTCGGAAGGGGTTGACTGACTATTGCCAGTTGGCCAATCATGCAAAGCGTTGGCAGACCTTCTTCGTTGTCACAATCGTTGGCGCCTTGCCCCGCTGAGTTCCGGGGGCTTCTGCTACTCAGCTCTAGCATGGCAATGGCCGGGTCGGTGACCTTCGGAGCCTCAATGATTCGCGGAACGGACGAATGGTATGTGTGATCTGGATGTAGCGAAATGTGAAGCTGGTGACGGCGATATTGAAGCAGGGAAGGCTCATGGATCCAGGAAGATGTTGCTGGGGCTGGACAAGATTTGGGTGGAAGCGTCTGGGTCCCGCCTGGGCCAATGGTGTGCACCCCAGAGGCTTCAAGGCTGGTCGTTCGGCTGGCTGCGGGTGACTAGCCCATCGCCATCGACTTCCATCGCCAATCAGGCGGGATGACGTGCGCCTCGGTTAACCCCAGTATCCTGGGTAGTTTCTCGATAACCTCGACGATTCGAACTCGACTGTCCCGAAGCCAAGGGCGAGCAGTGATGGTCGGACGATCGCCGCAATCTATGTGCATGAAGTGCCCTAGACAGGTTGATCGATCTCGAGGTGCAGTGACAATCAAAAGCAGTCGAAACGAGCCAAAATTCGCCGAGTGGAGGAGGAGGGGGGCAGAACTGGCTCTTTCGTCTATTGATGAGCTGTCAGGCGGCGCCTCGTGGATGCGGGGATACAGCGGGACGATCAAATCGCCAAAAAAAAATGAGATGGATGATGTTGGTTGTTTTTTGTTGCCATTTTGGTCACAAACGTATCGAGCTGCTGTCACTTTTGACAGTGATCTGTGTGTATTGCCGACAACGACTACGGATGCATCTCGTGCCATGTATACTCCGTACTCCGTACACGCTGTGAGAGGTGAGCCTCGTCAATCTGCCAGCGTCGACATTTGTCGTTCCAGCACTCCGTAGCGCATTGATACTGTGTGTGTGAGGGGGGGTTGCTGTGTTGTTTCGTATGCCTCATTGAGACGACGTCTTTTTTGGAGCGGAGCAGACCGTTGAGAGTTGGCCGAAACAAAGAAGCAAAGAATCTTGGGCTACCCATGTTTCCGGGCATTGAGAAGGCCGGGATGTTGCGCATGGCGGAGCGAAATGCGCATGACATGGCCGAAATCACAACCGGTGTGTCCCACTTAAAATCTGGCGATTCGGAGGGGCATGACCGGCCACTTCCACCGAGTTGTCAATGCGTCTTCGCTTTGTCGGGTCCATGCTTCTACCCCGTTGTCCGGGATAACGGCTCGAGATCGAGTTCAATCGAGAGGCCCGTCGCTGGTTCCTGGTCGGCTCAGTTCTGCCACGATTGCCGCGGTCGTATCGATGGAAGGATCCGGCCATGGAAGCATTTTCGAATGTTCGGTGTTGGTCTTGGAGCAACACCAGCTTGATTAAGGTAGGCTGTGATCCGATGGATGACAGGGTTGACGCTCGACGCTAAAGACGACACTTTAGGATGGAAGATTAGTCTATGCCTTGCTTAGCGCAGGATAAATTGAGTTCTGGAATATTCTGTTCGTCTGTATGATTCTTTCAATGAGATTTTGGGCGGGAGGCAGTGTAGTTGATCGTTGAGCACATTGTCAACCTAAGGTCAAGATGTGTTGCCTGATAGTTGTGAGGAGTAAGAACCCACGAGACCTGTCGGCGCTTGCTGTTCCGGATGCCGTTGTTCCATTCAAGCAGGTTCCATCCTTCAGGTCTGGCCCTTCCTCTTCGAGCTCTTTCTTACCTCATGGAAGCACAACCTAACCTTAGGGTCCTAAAGTACACCTCGGTGGCCGGAGAAACAACGGCAGGACGGACTTGGAACCGAGGGGCTTGGCGGGGCTGCACCGGATATTTTCTCGACCCACCAAATGACATCCTTTATTTCCTATTGGTCTTATGCACCTTTCGTGTAGCAACTTCCGCCTGATCGCCTACGCCAATCATCATCAACATCAGCAACGTTTTCGTCAAGTTCAGGAGGCTGATTAAACATGAAGGAAACACAGATTGCTAACTCGATAACCACGTCTATCTCTTCCCTTGCCTTCAACTTCCTAGCTGCCACTTCTATGTTGTCCCCTTTTTGCCCAGAGCCTTCCCCAGGATCTCATGCAACTGCAAGATCAATCTCGCTCTGGTCCGCATAGCCGCAGTTCCCACCAAGCATGATCAATCGGCGCCGCCTCAAGCCCCGGGATTGTGTGGAGAATCATTGACAACAAGGTGGATTGAGTTGACATGGCACCGCCCAAGAACCGAATACGCAAATTTCACCGTCGCAGCAAGAACGGTTGTTCGACGTGTAAGCAGCGTCATGTACGATGCGATGAGCGGAAGCCTTTGTGGTATGCGTCCCTCCCTCGTCTTCCCTGCCCATGCCTCCTTGAAAAAGCTCATGCCCCTCGACTGCCCCTTGTCACACCGGAGGTCCTGCCCGTGGAGGACCAATAGACAGCCCGTTCCTTCTGTCGAATGATTACCTAACATTGGCTTCAGCACAAACTGTCTGCAGACTGGCAAGGACTGTGTATACCCTGAAGTAGACCCTGACGAAGAGTCTCGATCAGAATCCCTTTCCGAGTCCCGATCTGGGTCCGAGCCCACCGTCGTCCCGGCCGAGGAAGCCTCCATCATTACCAATGTCGTTTCAAACCAGCCATTTGTCGGCTTCTCATGCGACTACCAGATGTCGGCAATGTCACAATGGCTCTGGCACCAGTGTAAGCAGCCTTTTTGGCTCTTCAGATCGCTTGACTGACACCAACTTCAGTCACCGCCTTTTACGTCAGAGGTCAGACTCCAGTAGAGAGGGGACAGAACCTATGCAGGTATGGCTCCGTTTTCCATCCCAGCACACCACCCGGGCTAACGTCAGAAAGCGTACAAAGAACACTTCTGCATCCGGGACTGCTTCACGGCTGTCTCGTCGTTGCAGCTTGCCAGTGGGCCTGGGTCACTGGATCCCTTGAACACGTCAAGATTCCATTTCTCTATCACAAGGCAGCCGCTTATGAGTTTGCAAAGCATCAACTCTCAGAGTCTGAGGATAATGTCAGCGACACAGCCATCTTTGCTATAGCCAGCCTGGCACTCACTGAGGTAAGGAACCTTGCCGTCCTCATAATAGCGTTTTGCACGCTGATGGCATACGCAGGGAGCGGTCGGGGACTTGGATGCTTCCTCGAAGCATCTCCGCGGTCTTCACAGATTGACTCTGAGGAAGAACGGCTACAACTTGATGAGATCAAATCTGGCACAACAGATGCTACAGATGTGAGTGGAATCTGTCGGATAGTGTGTAGCACGGGTCTGTTAACAAAAGCTTTGACAGGGCTGGCGATCGCCTACGTCTAGGCGAAGTGAACGTGATTCACGACGCCATCAGTGCTGACTTCCAGCCCAGCATCATCGCCTTGCTGTTCACGTCACTGTGGGATATGGAAAGTCTCCCGCCGCGGCAAGCACCGAGATACGGTTGGTGGGAAGGCAACGAGACGCCTACAGACAGGCTCTGGCAGGACTACACCAAAAACCTAAACTGGGAGCTTTCTCGTGGATTCGACCCAGAGCGCAATATAGCGACGATGCTGAACGGCGACGCAAAGAGCAGCAGGGCGAGCTACATTGCCACCTTTTTCTACCTCGTCATGGCGGTCAACGACAGCGAAATGGATTGCGTTCTCACTGTGTGGCTGCTGGAACAACTCATTGACGATGTCTGCGACAAAGAGGAGGAAATGATTGCCGGCAGTTTCAGTCGCAGCCTTTGGTTATGGAGTGTCCTGTTCGGAGCAGCTGTGGCTTACACGGGTAGACCAATTACCGCAACAGGCAGAGAACAGCTTGCGAGGTGGAGGGAGATGTATGCTGCGAAACTGGGCTTGGCTAGCGACGTGTTGCAGCTCAAGAGCTGGCACGACGCGAAGACAGTACTGGCGGAAGTCGCCTGGACCGATGGCTCAGATGCTGAGGGCAGACTACAAGGCATTTGGGAAGCAGCTGTGTTGCATCATCAGGGCTCTGCGAGTCGCGTACGCGAGGTGGACTTGACGACGTGAGCGGCTGAAAGTTGTTTTCAACACGGCTAGAAGATATTCCAGCTTCCGAATCGGCATATTCATCCTCCAATCAGCAGCAACGTTTCGACCGCCGAAGTACATGCGTAATGCGGAGGCCGGAGACGCGTAAATGTATGTTTGTATACGGGCACGACATCACTGAGTATTTACCGGAGCAACGTTTTGTCGAGATCCGGTGTCAAGTTTTCGGTGACCTGGCAGCCGTCGCTTGAGTCAGAAAGCTGGCACACCGAGATTTAGATCGGCGTTTTAGGTAGGGGGTGATGCGCTGCGACTCCCAATTTGTCGTAGCGCAGACGGGCGACTTCATATCCGAAACTTGATTTTTTTTCCTCACAGTGAAAAACTAGCAGTTGAAGAGAGATCCACCGACGGGTATCTCTTGAGTTCCGGTTCGTGACGGCGACGGCGGCGAGGCTGCGGGGGCAAGATCGTCATGATTGCCAATTGCCTCACGTTGTGTTAAAGGGGGATTCCGACTCGGCAGCATCTACCGAGGGACGAGCGTAACAGAGTTCAATGGTGTGGAAAAGACGACAAGGATGAGCCGAGTAAAGGGGATTCCACCTGTGACCGGGCTCGATGGGGAATGGAAGCTGCCGAACGGGAGGTTGGAACTGTGTCAGCACGAATGGGTTGGCAGTGGATACTGGATATGTATTGATCGTCATGCTTGAATGTCGAAGGATAATCACGTGCAAGAGTCGGGATGTCTGTGATGCACAATGATCGTGGGATGCTGACAGGAGGAAAGGTGTGTGGGAAAGGGTGTTTTAATCGTCCAACTGTTGTCTCCAACGTGAGGTGAGGTAGCTGTTAATTGTAAGTAATTAGACACATAGTGGGCTTAGATCGGTCGAAAGGCGGCAGGTGATGGCGCTGGTCTGAGGCTGCGGGTGGCTTGCGTCAAGCTGCCATTGTTTGTTTTAGTGACGGGACGTTGGACGGGTAGGCAATTCTGGAAACAGGCAACGCTGTTTCCGCTTGGCGCATCGTGGCTTCCCCAGTGCTGTCGGACGTCTAAGTCTTTGTTGCTCCCGCACCTTGCGAATACCTACTCCGTGCCTTTCCACCTTACCTAAGAAACTCCATCTACGAGTCTAGAACAGAAGGCAAGAACCTTGCACTCATCCTCGATCGCGACTTCGACATCAACGTCTCCTCGTCCGCGTCCATCGCCAAGGTCTTTTTCCATCCCATCGTCAATGCTCTCCACTCGACAACGGGCGCCTCCGTCTCACGTCTCTCGCTTTCCCCTCGTCCCGTATTCCGTGTCAACGTCAGCTCATCAGCCATCTCGCATTAAACTGCCTTGAACTGCCACACGCGAGTAGTTCCCCGCGTCTCAACCTCATGCTGGCCTCAAAGTCAAGACCATTGGCTTCACAATATCCAGCTCGTCGGCGTCAAACAAGACCGAGGTGGGTCCAGGAAGTTGGAATGCTCTATGCAAAGCTCGACGGGAATTCGGAGAACGAAGCAAGAGACGACGTGGAGCGATCGCTGGTGATCGAGTCGAACGCTTGTGGATCGCATCAAGCTACTAATTCAACATGCCGCTGTCGCTACCGTTGCGCTTCATGATACGACCAGCATGACAAGTTGGACCATGTTGTCAAGCGATCACAAGGCCACACGCTGCACGTTACTCATGCATCACAATGCAGCATCATCAAAGGAGTCGCAAATGGTTGGCGTGGACCGCTTCCGTCAGAAGCAGGCCAACTGGTAGACACCGAACAACTACATCGCGAAGCGCGTTTATGTGTCTTGCGGGCGTGATGCACTGCGTCGTTGCTTGTGGTGTGTGGCCGACCGACGGCGACCCTAGCCAGTGAGCATCGAACACGCCAAAATAGCTGCTGGCGGATTGTGCAAATTGAGACGGAGACTGTCGGCCGGTGTGTGTCAGCTATTGCGGCCCGCCAACCATGGCCTCTGCTTCATCGACGCGTGAGCCGGCGGCGTGCCTACACCAATGAAGCAGCCAACGACCAGGAGATACAGTATTAACACGAGGTTGACGGACAGACGGGCTGACAGTCCGGCTTTCCGCAGTTCCCGCTCGGCTGTGGTGCTACGCAGACTACGCTTATCTGCCTGTTGTGTGCGTCTTTTTTTCCTCCCCCTCTCATATTCTCTTCGCCTGGCCTCTTCTGGCAGCCGGCGGAATCGATGTCACCTCGGCGGGCGTCGATTGATGCGCATCAGAACATTGTTCAAGATGGCGCCATGACTTTGATGCTCGAGACGCCTACTGGAAACGGGTTACGGGAGGCTTTCACGTCTGTGCGAGGAGGAGGAAAAAGGGGAAGGTCAAGGACCAGCCGGAACGAGAGCAAAATTTTGATGGTTGGGACGAGCAAGTTCCGCGAATGGTGCGAATGGATGGGAAGATGAAGGGTCGGGGAAAGCAAGCATCAACCCGCTGCGAGTCGACAAGCTGGGCAGCCTTGTTTCTTTTCTCTGCGTCTTCTGGCCTGCTCTTCTACTGCCGGGACACTCGAGGTTTCTGCACGGATGTGTTGGTGCTGCAGCCATGATCCCTCCATGTTGCTGCGGCGGACGAAGTACTGGCGTCGCGATAGGCTGGGAACATTGCCAGTACCCGCCGGGGACCCAAGTCCAAGTCAAGAAAATCAAGGAAGCAAGACCAGTCACCGCCAACCTCGCGCGGAACGGGCCTATGACAGGCGCAGACAGAATGAGGCCAGCTGGCTAGCGCCGTGTATTAGCTCGAGTTGACCTGCGGTCTTTCTGTGACGGCCAACACCACGGCACATCACATATTGGATACGACAAGGTCGGCGATTCGGCGGTGGACGACGCATGTACTCCGTTCTGTTGTTTCCAAGGCAGCCGGTCGGCATCCCATCCATTTGGCAGGAGCTGAGAAGATGATGCCGCCAGGAGTCCAGACACTCTGGCCAGCAGCTGCACACGACACAAGACAGAGAGATGAGACTGGATGGGCATGGAAATGAGTGGTGGACAAGATATTCCAAGATGTGATTGCTATTGCCTTGGCCTAGCACCCATCTGCAGAATCAAGGGCGCCAATGCTTCGGAACAGGGGTTGTCTCTGGCCAGCAGAACATGGGCAGGGGTGGCCACACATGTCGACGTGGTAGACAGCTCCACCCCCAATCCTCCCCTCCCGAGTCTGCCATGCCCGCAGCCCCTTGGATGCCCCCTCACAGACCTCATCTCGTTCGCTCGTTTGTGCAAATGCCAGCAGACATGGCTTCTTCCCGCAACATTAAAACCCGCTGACCCCCTCTGTCCCTGCCCGACGGCTGTTTCTCTTCCTATTCTTTCAGCCCAACCCGCAACCTCATTCCTACCCAACTTATTCTGCATTCTGCATCGCTGATCTCTGGCAACCCAACAAGCGCCAATATTGTCTTCTTCTACCCACCTACATCCCTCCAGTCCTCACACAAACGGTCTACCTGAACTAAGAAGGTCAAAAAAGATCTTCCGCATCTTGCCACCCAAGGATTATCCTATTCGACACCATCTCGACCAAATCATTCCAAAGGAACGCCGCAAACAAGTGATCCGCTGTGTTTGCTCTTTTCTTTGGTATCTTCACACGACACAACTCAGCCGAGTTAAACTACATTGCCCTGGACTTGCATGACTACGCGACCCGAGGAATCAATGACTGCCCTTGTTGTTCCGCGCCCGGATATGCCTGGCTACAATTCTCTTGATTTGGACGACGTCCACACACCTTCTAGGTATTGTCTTTTCTTATTCTGTTCCCAGGGTGGTCCGTCGTCTTTATGAATCATGTATCGCAAGCTTCATGTACAGTTTCTTCGCGTCTACCAACCAGATCTTTCCGGCCACGGAGGCCCCCAAACAAAGGACACATCGACTCATGGACTATTCTTCCGGACTTTTATCTGCCAGGACACTTTACCATGGGATCATTGCCGAGGACATTCTTTCTTTCCACTGGACAAAGGAGACCGTTGTGCAGAGGCCTAGCCTCTTGCCTGTCGCGCCAGACACGGTCATCAACGTTATCTGAAACTATACATCTCACGGTGAGTACTGCCCGACAAGAGCAAACTTGAGACAAGCAGCAACTTGGACTCCTCTGGATTACTTCGCACCAAACAAATCTGGACACTGCCTGGCAACCTATTGCCAAAGGATTCTCAAGGATATAATCTACTGGAACTCATGGATGTCTCGACCGAGGCGTAGGGGCTGCCCAGCTTCGCTTTTGGATGGACTTCACTGGATACCTACTAAACACGACAATGGACTGCCCGGATTTACTGCTAAGTTGCTGCCTTGATTTAGGCTTTGGCACTGGCAATACCTCTTCGAAAAAATGGAATCTGGAGTCTCACGGTGGACTAGCACGTGTCAAGCTTCGCCTGTTCCTCTGTTCATGGATTTCCGTTTGCTTCGATACACTGCTTCGAATCAAGATTACCTTGTCTGTCTCACAGCAGTACATCCTGATGGACGGGACTGCTATTACGCTGCCATCTGGAAACTCGCCAACGCATCTGGTTTTGTTTTATCCAAGGACCCAACACTATCCAACTCACCCTTCGTACCCATCGGTGAGACACCATCATCTCCTAGGATACGCTTGCCCATGGCTCCGAGACCACATGGACAAAACACCGCTTGCACTCTGGGACTACTGCGCTCCCCTTCGACTGTTGACTCTGAGGATTTTCGAACCGCCCCTACATGCATTACGAACCTGGAGCTTCACATATCTGAATCGCGGATCTATACTGGAACGTCGACACCTATTCCCCACTGGGCTTTCTCCTGGCAAGATCTTTTTGATCTGCGCTCGCTTGGTCTGTCAACTCATCACTCCGAACCTGTGAGGCAAAAGGCCGGTTTACTAACATGCTTGTCCTACAGGAACAAAGTTGTGCCATGCTGAGATGTTTTCTTGTTTACTTGTTTTGCATTGCACATATGAATAGTGGAGAAACAGCACACTAACCCCCCTTTTCAGCGATTACAGCTTCTTTCACGCACAAATGGTGCCCTCAGGAATGTTTTCCTTTTCTTCTCAAACAGGACCATCGGACCCCTTGAGTGGTTCGTGGGAAACGACAGGAGAAGGTGCACAGAACTTTCAAGACTTCTCAGACAACGGATCTGCCCACCCGGGAGATTCCGAGGACTACTCTTTCCAAGTTGATGGCCACATCACGCCCAGAGGACAGGGCCAAACTACCGAGGATATGCAGAGCAAGTGGACTGCTCCCGCAACTGTTGGTGGCGAGCCCATGCGGAGAGGAACTTCGCGCAGCTCAGCCGGAAGCCGCAAGCACCGGATTTCCAAGGTCACATCTCCCAAGGCACGACCCAGAATTTCTGCTGCCGCGTCAGCTCAAGTATCTGCTCAGCTGTCCTCCATGGACCTCTCAGGTAATGCTACGGTCTACGGACCTCAGCCCAGCGCCCAAATGATGGACGTGAACCCCTACTTCCTGGACACGGATACGAGCGCCGTCTCGTCCCAATGGTTTAACTCTATGGAGCTCGGCATGATGCCCGATGGCCTGCCCTCAGGCGAGCTGAACATGCACGTTGTGCCTGCTCAGATGCAGCTTGACCCGGACTCGAGCTTGGGTGCTCACTCTCCTTCTGCCTCCTGGAACTCTTTCAGCCCGTCAGAGTCGCACCTGTCTTCGCCGGCCGGAAGCACCGAGGATTCGTGGCTGTCCGCCCCCCTCATGTCTTCGCCGTCACACTCGGAGCATGTCTCCCCCATTATTCAAAGCCAGTCTCCAAGGTATGTTCCTCAGATCAGCTGCTCTAGCCTAGAGTCAGCCTCTGACGAGACACTCTTGTACAGCGCCAACGGGAAGTTTATGAGCGACGAGCTCGCTGGAAGCGTTCTCACCATTGTCGGCGACGCCGCACTTCCCGCTGCTTTCCCCAGTCGCCGGCCTACCAATGAGGGTGATACCGCCCGGGACCACCCTTTGTACAAGAATGCGACCCCGCAAGCTGATGGCTTGTTCCATTGCCCATGGGAAGGAGAAACCAGCTGCAACCACAAGCCCGAGAAGCTCAAGTGCAACTACGAGTAAGTCGCCTTTCATACTCGCTCCGGACTCGTCCCCCGTGACTAACCCCCCCTTCCTCTCGCAGCAAGTTCGTGGACTCCCACTTGAAGCCCTACCGCTGCAAGATTGACTCTTGCGAGAACGCCCGCTTCTCCTCCACTGCCTGCCTGCTTCGCCATGAGCGTGAGGCTCACGCTATGCACGGCCACGGCGACAAGCCCTTCCTGTGCTCCTACGAGGGATGCGACCGTGCCATGCCTGGCAATGGATTCCCGCGCCAATGGAACCTTAAGGACCACATGCGCCGTGTTCACAATGACAACGGTGTTCCCGGATCCCCTACCAGCATCAGCAACAGCCAGCAGAGCTCCAAGGGCCGCAAGCGCAAGGATGCGCCCAAGGCTGCCGTCGTTGGACCCGCACCACCCTCCCGCAAGGTCACTGCCAAGGCGGCCGTCGTGGAGGCTGCTGTCAAGGAGGAGCTCTCATCCAAGCCCCTTATCGAGGAGTGGATGTCCCACCGCCAGGCTCTGGAGAACATTGTTCGTGACCTCAACCAACCCGAGGACATGAAGAACCCGCAGCTCATCAAGGACGCCCACAACCTGCTGTCCGCCATGGGCAAGATCGGACACGACTTGAACACCGTTCAACCCATGGATTCCAAGGTACCATTCCACCGCAACTACGTCCACGCCGGATGAATACCTACTTTTGGTCCGTAAAAGCCCACTTTACACCGTCGACAAAAAAAGACTTTCCACTAACTGGTCATTGCTTGCAGAACTTGACTATGCCAGTCACAGAATGCTATCAGCTCCGAATGCAAGCGCATCGGGCATGTGCGACTATAACTCGATCCTCTAAATTGTGGACGTTGTATGTCGCTGAGGAACCATCACGCTATCACGAGTCTCTCGGGCCGCAGTGAGCTTCTCTCACACTGGATTAATCCATATCTCCGGATGGATACTTTTGCCGCCCGGCAACGGATACCCAGGATTGAAGCCAACGGACACACCGCAAGGAGGACTCAAGAGCCAGCAAATGCGCTCTAGCGAAGGCCGCGCCGCGGTCAGATGGAGGAAGTGCGATGCAAGGGAAGGCACACTGTTTTGATTTTACGCACGATGGAATTATTAGAAGAGGGTACATGTAAGAGCTCACGCTCGACACACAACAGAACTTGTATTTTGTTTTTTGGAAACTGGAATTGGGAGAAGACCCTCACAGCGCGAGGCTCCGTCACAGATGTGGCAAGTTACAGGCTCGAAATGGACCAACAGCAACTGGAATTAGATTATTTGAGTATATAGGAGACGAGGGAAGGGAAATAGTTGAAAATTGAAAGAAAATGGCGAAGAACTCTTTGCGCCCCTCGTGTCTTTGCATTGACTGACGTACGATCCGTACCTGGCCTGCCATCCTGAAGAAGAGCGAAATGCTAAGAGCTAACGGAACGTTTCGGTGACTGACATTCCAGCGGCGGGAGACAGCAGCATTCTCAAGGTATTCTCATCTATCGGTGTAATGGGTCCAGTTCCAGTCAAGGCCTATCTCGATGTCCTGCTTGCAACTTAACCGAGGTTCTTCACTTGTGTTGTGCAGAAACGTTAAAGGTATAATACGGGATAGGTATGGTGAACTATGGTCTTGGCTTCCATCTGATAGGTCTAGATTTATACTGCGTTGCCATTTGCGATTCTCTCTCTCTCTCTCTCTCTCTCTCTCTCTCTTTCTCTCTTTCTCTTTCTCTCTCATATCTCTCCCGAAGGCGGTGCTCAGGCATGGATATGGATGTGGGCAACGAACTGGCGACATCTCGATCTTGCTTAGCATCTAGGAACAAACATCTAGCAAGACACGACGCGCGGTCCAAGGGCCAGGAATTACGAAAGTCTTACTTTTCTCATGGAAATATCACAATGGCCTACCTACCTACTACGTCTGCTGATGGTATCTCGAGATCAGGGCTCGAGGGTGCGATCTCCTGGCTTGAGGGTCTGATCACGATTTGGCTTGGAAGGGACTGGCGGGTAATGCCGACGAGAAGGGGGTTCATATGGGTAATATTACTTATTCCTGTCGGGATCGAGATTGTGATTTGGGGGTTCAACGTCAGCGTCAACGTGAGGTTTCTAGATTGGGATTGGAGAGCTTCTTGCTACCGGGAGGATGAGCGGGGTAAACTAACTACCTACAGATGTGAACACCCCGCTTATGACCTCCTCGATAGGACATGGTTAGGGGTGAGAAACTTGCAAAGAAAAGGGGACATTGGGGAAAGGTGGAAGAGGAGTTGGAGATCTATACGACTCTGTGGCATTGGCGAGGGTTTGTAGGGAGCCACGCGTGTAGGTTAATTAGGCTTTGAAATACCTTACTCTCTGGATCTGGTGGGGGCATGGTGGTCTCCCGCTTCGAGGACGTGATCGTGATTTGCAATGGCATGAGGCACGGGCTAGCTTTCGCGGCAAGAGATCCAAGGGAAGGGGGAAAGATGGGGGGTTTCGTAGCCGATTGCCGCTGGGCGTGATAGTTGTGGTGGTTTTGGGGGACGAAGAAGCATGTCGGCTATTGAATAGTTAGTTTACCGTGATGGGACGAGGGTTGAGGAGGTTGGTCGTAACCTGGTTGGTGATGTGAGTATGGATTTCGGCTGTAGTGCTCGACCAACACTACAATTCTTTATACAACGGCTGTACTACCATCGTTGTCGTTGTCTCCTTGGATATGATAGGTACATCATGTGTTCTGGTCTGAGACTTCCCGGTTCGACACGCACATGGTCTTATCAACACACGGAGCACAATGCCATCGCGGCTCATGGGAAGCAAGTACAAATGACTCGGGAAACTGCGATGTGAGCATACCCGAATAGCTCGCAAGAACACCGACTATGCAGCGAGCCCCTAAAAGCCCCTCCAGACGTGAACACCACATATCCTCAACAGATGGAACATAAACATCAGATAAGGATTGGATGGTTGATCAGACCGTCGAGTGAAGGTGACGGAGGACATATAGGGCACGACTGGGTCGTGTCATGGATATGTGAGTGAAAAGAGTCTGATGTGGCGGCGGTGACAAAGAGAAGTGTAGAGGAGCGGGAAGAGCATGGCTCGCCGCATGAAGAAGGGACGAGGGATATGGATGGATGATACGAGGATGAACAAAAGCCTCTCTGGGGTGTGTGTGTGTGTGTGTGTGTGTGTGTGTGTGTGTGTGTGTGTGTGTCCCATGATTGTCGACCTTAGGGAAACACCAAAAAAGGCAAAACCTTGGACTTCCAAAAGGTCATGGAGGAAAGGGCCGAAGAGGCGAGCGGCGAAGAACCAGGGGTTTCAAGCGCGCGGAAGAGACTTCTCGCAACAGGCGACGGTCAGTCTGATCACCAGTGGGTTTTCCAAGGTGGTCACTGCCTTCGTCCCCCCTTTACTTGATGATATGCCATTATAGCCTATCTCGCCGTCGCCGTAGCTAGTTTCTACTCTTAGGGCTACCTAGACTTCCGTTTGATCGGCCTTGCGCGTATGCGTGCGTGTATGAGTTATGTGTGTGAGAGAGCGAGAGTGTAAGCCGGGCTGTAAGTCAAAATTGAAAAAGTTCACGTGAAGGCAAGAAGAGTCGATACGACAGTGGCGATCCTGAAGCACCTCTCATCCTGAAGGAAGGCTCCTTCATAGACGGCGAGATGTTACTCGCCCATGCAATGAAGGACCATGAAGAAGAATCGTGGCTATCGAACCAGGTTCCTTTTCGTCCAACACGAAACACCCCAACGACCGGGGCTTTCGCGATGGATCAACGTTCGATCTATAGATTCACTTTTCACCATCTCTGAGATCGTCACCTCTTCCTGCCTGTCTTGCTCTCTTAGACCGTGCGCACAGCATACGCGGCTAGCGACAAAGGAACAGGGAAAAAGGATTGACTTTCTCGCAAAGGAAGGGGAAGAAGCGGCCATGGCGTCTAAGGCTTGTTTGTGGCCTGCTACGTGGAGGTGGACTGATGGACAGAGAATGTAGAGATTCTCCCAAAAGAATCAAGGCCCTACTCTGCAGCGGGACGCTTACGGGCCTTGCTATGGGGGCTGCTGCAGCAGCATGCAGTAGGCAGCCTTTCTTGTTCTACATGGACTAGATTAATCTGGGATCATATGTCCTTGCATTTAGGTGGTGACGAGGGGGGCGGGACAGTCGTCGCGGGAAGGACGACTTATCGTTGGGGAGAGGACGGCCAAGAAAATCATGCATGCCCAGGAGTAGGCACCGAACAAGAAGTCGGGGTAACAGAAGGGGAGGACCGCATGATGGTCAGCAGCAACCTCGATAAACGCAAGTGATGAGCTGATGATATGGTCAGCGGACAAGACGGCAGCGAGAGTTTTCTTTACTCCCCCTTGCACTCGGCCGCCGCCGTCGGGAACGGTGCCGAGGGAGAGGCGGACAGTTGACGCTGTGTTCTGTAAGAAACGGAAAAAAGTGAATGGACCAGGCTCGAGCCAATCAAAAACTCACTCCTAGCAGTCCGTCTGGACCAGCCCGAGACGAAAGTTCATACTGTTCAATGAAAGGGTGTGGGTGAGAGCTGACTGAGAGTTTTGTAGAAAAAATGAGATGGGAGGCAATTGGGGAGATGGCGGCGCTGTTGGCACAACGAAAGGGAAACAGGCGTGACAAGGAAGATGTCTGAATTACTAGTCATTGACTTCGTCGACTAAAGCTCGGGTCTGGCTCCCGAGAAGCTTAAATAGGTAAGAAACTATAAACATGGCCGTAAAGGGAAGTGAAATGCAGGAACTCATGTTCCTGAGGGTGTATCATAAAACTCTTTGAGCAAGCATTCTTAGCCGCCCTTTCCTGGTCTTTTACCCCAAAGAAACACACAATGGATACTCCCGTCTGCTGCAAGGTTTGTACATGATGGACAAGCTTTTTCTTCGGGGCCCGTCAATCAGCCCCCGAATGTACCGACAGATCCCGATTTCGCGTGTTTCCGCAGAGGCGCGGGTACGGCGGTGTAACTGCTGCGGTCGTAGGTGCCATAGCGAATCCCTGCCTCGAGGTCGTCGATGCTCTGGCGGATGCTCTCACGGTAGACGATGTCGTCAACCTCGTAAAGAATCTGACTGTGACGACTGCTCTCGCCCGACGCATTCGTAAGGTGGCTGTCAGGCCGGTCGTCTTCAGCGCTGAAGCTGGGCCGGTGCTGGCTTGAGGGCTCTGAATTGCTCCTCACATGTTGGATATTTGGGCGGCTGAAATTATTGACGGCCTGGCGCCGGGCTATATCCGACTTTTCCGTCGTTCGACCGCCGGGGGCCCTTCTCCTGTCGGGAGACCTATCAGTGGGCCCGAGACTGGCTTCGTCCAGTTGGATGTTGATGGTGTAGACTGAGTGATTCTTCATCACTGCTGGTAATGGCTTGTTGAGCGTCCCTTCGCTAAATCTTTTGGTGGCGGGGGACTTTGAGGGGATAACGTCGAGCTCTTTCACCGCGGGTTCATTTGACATTTGACTCGTTCTCGCTGAACCAGTGGTGGCCTTGTCGGTGGGCGTTGGCTCTGTCGTTGCGCGAGTTTTGCGTGCGTTGGTGCCGAGGAACTTTGGAACATACTTGTTGAAGAATGGCTTTGTAGAAGGAATACTGGTGCAAATGATGCCTAGGAATAGCTCCAGGCAAGACACGAGCCAGTTGATCCAGGCGTTCCATGTCGCGTCGGGTTCCGTAGTCATAATCCATGTGAAGTATGTGCGAGCGATGCCAGCAAAGCATGCGAGGAATCCAGCACCAAATAAAAGGTTGACAATGGTTAATTGTCTTGAGGTAAGCTTGCTGGCGTAGACAATGCGCACAAGGGCGAGCGGCAAGAGAACCACAAGAAAGTCGGTGACGGTATTGATGGTTCCGGCAACGAGGAGGTGAGCGGATTCGTTGATGCAGTTCTGCGGCTCCAAGGAGAGAGTCCAGTAAAGCTTGAGAGGACTTGGATATGTCAGTACTGGGGTGTCTTTCAGCGTCAACAGAGAGCACTTACCGGCACTGCAGCATAGCTACCAACATGAAGACGACGCAGTTGACGGAAATGAGTACCTGAAGTGCCACAACGAGCAACCTCAGCTTATTTGAAGCCGCACACGCAATCCTGTACATGAGAGCTAACATGGACAACTTGGTGAAGCTCGTCGCCAAGTCGAATAGGATCTGGCTGGCGAGGCCAATTTGGAGGGATCCTGTGATGGTTTCGGTAGGCACGTCCCAGACATGCCGTCCCCAGCCATAGCTGTTTGTAGCGATGACCCCAAGGACTACGAAGCCCGTAGCTGGAATGAAGGCCAGTACGACGAGGATGTCGTCCCATCCGAACCCGTTAGTGATACATCGTCGTGTGTAGATCCGGATGGCGAGGATGATGGTGGCGATGACCAGTAGGATGATGGCAACGATCTCGTTGGCCGGGCCTCTCGTGACTGGGTTGACGAAGTTTGGGGTCGGCCAACTGAGAATGACTTCTACAGGCGGGATTCTCATATCGTAGATGGCGTGAACATCATGGAGACACGGGAGTTGGCCACGACTGCTGAGACGTGGAAATGTAGGACAGGATTGGGGAGATTCTCCTCCTTATTCCTTCCCTATGCGGCGTATGAGGTGGCCCGAGTACACGCGGGGACGAGTGGGACACTGGACGAGGGCGGGAGGGGCAAATCGAATGGGAGGGCAAAAAGACGTTTTTCAGCGGTGGTGACCGTGCTTGAGCCTAATCAACGGATGAAGGCAATGGCAAAGCATAACTCTGCTGGTGACATCAACATGGTGATGCGAGCCCCGGCCAATATATCCTTTCGGTCTCGATGGTGGCCATCCCATCCCTGGCACGGCACTGCGGGGGGGGGGGGAGTGGTGCGAGGAGTGAGTGTTGGCGAGACATTCTCAAGGCCGCACTGACGGCATGAACCGGGGTTCTCTTGAGGAACTGGTGGTGTTGTGTCGTGTTGTCTCCCTCAGTGTCCATTGGATATCCACGGGGCGGTGCTGAAAAGGGAATAACGGATGCTACTCCGTTGAGTCCACGGCACCTTGGCCGGTTGCAAGTCTGTGTGAGAGGAGCCGGAAAGGCAGTAGACTTCGGCGCTTTGCTTCTTTGCGTAAGTCATCTTCTGCGGCACCGTCGCATCGCTCCTCCAAAGCCGTTGTGGGCGAGAACATCTCCCAGCCCTATTGTTGGTTTTGCAGCTGGGCGCCTGGGGTGACAATTCCGTTTCTCCGGCTGAGGAGGCTCAACAGCTGACTAGGCCGTTTGGCGCGGCAGACCAACCCTTAGAGACCAGGATTAATTGCCGCTAACGCAGTTTGAAGCTACCGAGACAGCTTTCACTCCCGGGTGTCAACAGTGTCAGAATCCATTCATGATCGTCAGCGTCATGCGCCAGGCCTGCGATCATGAGCATGACATGTCAAGGGAGGCTGGCAGGTTATTTGACAGACGGGTTGGCCGCTGACAGCTTCATTCGAGCGGTAAGGTACTCGTTGTCGAAAGCATTCAAACTCAGAAACCGGCCCTGGTCTAAATATCATCGTGATGGTGGAGGTGGGCGGCCGGTATACGTAGCGGAAAGCAAGCTCAAAGGTGGGGAAGACAATGTGTTCCTGGAAGAAGATCAGAAATGTTTGCATCCAGGATCCGGATTGGCGAGTCGTCTTCGAAGCCGCGCCGCCTTCTCGTTTCTCTTTGCTCACTGTGGTGTAGAACTGTTTGGAGCTTGGCAGGACGCACGGGTTTTGGGTTCGTTATGGCGCATTGACGACCGGGCGAGGGCATGATCAAACCGTACGTGTCGGAGGGTGTTGGACGCCATAGGCCCAATTCGATTTTCGCCTATTCGATCTCGACATCCTGGGCAGGCTTATGGATACGGCTGGAGACAGGCCATCGTGTTCCCAGAGGCTATGCTGCAAGGCCCCCGCGATGCGGCCGCTCCCTGATATGGTACCTTAGTCTTGGCCTGTCAGGTTCCGGTCCCTATCACATCGGATCTGGGCGTTCCCATGACTGGTGGCGCTCCAATGCTACCTTGTCTAACGAATGGCGAATGACAGGGTACGCATGCCATCAAGCGAAGAGGCGGCTTTGCATGCAAGCGAATGGAATAGGATGGCGTACGTTGACGTGAAGTCGTTAGCTGGCAAGGAGTTGACAGTAGGTGTCAGTTGGAAGTTGAGGCTTCCCCGTTCAGTTCGTAGACGACGACAAGTTGACCCACACAAAAAACGATCTTAGTCATCGACCAGACGACATCTCCCAAGCCATCAGCAACTCTTTACTCCTTCTCTCAAGGCCAAATTCAATAGCTCTCGATCCAGTTCCCCTGGGATTGTCGATCTAGCCACACTCAATGGAACGAACTGGTTCATTGATCTGGATGTCGTATTATTTCTTCCTGCTGCCACCATGCGCGATAGCTGGGTGGCCAGATTGCTATTTCTGAGCCGTTTCCGAACCACCCCCGTACGCTGCTGTTTCAACCGGCACACGATGATTGGGGCCCTGGAGAGTCGACAGCGAATGGTGTTGCGCGCGCACAGCTCGGTCCCGGTGTTCCTGTCATTAGCTGACAACCCCGGCAACGGAGAAAAACGTCTTCAGCCCTCTCTCCCTCCCGCTTGCCCGTCGAGAGCTACCTTACGAGAAGCCAAGTCCCCTGGTCTGGATCATGGCTGATGGAGATGCGATTGGGCCCTGAGATCAGGCCGGGGCTGTCAACCCCACGTGTGTCCGGCCTGCCATCAGCTGCGCCCCCCGGAGGCTGGCCCCTTACGTGACCGACTCAATCATAACGACACTCGACATGGGTTCGCTTATACCGCCTGGAATGCTCCCACCTGTTGTGCGAGAAAACGAGCAGACGATAGGTTCTAGACGAAACTGGACTTCTAGAATGCCCAGGCGTCTCGTATGACAGATTGTGAGAGGACAATGTGTTTCTGACGGGAACTCGCGATATTATGCCGCCTAGCGTGTGCTCGTGAAACATCGGAAGCATGCTGGAGAGGATGATTCTTGGCAAGACCATCACATCTCAAGTACAGTGTGCTCTGTGCTACGGTTAGCCCATTCTTTGCACTTTTCTACATGCCTCCCAACTGCCATCCGTCTCTCCCATGTCAGAGGCCACCAGTCTGGCTTGAACTCGTCTAATTTCCAGAGGCTGTCTGCCTCTGAGGCCGCGTGTCATCGGTCCTTTTGTACCTGCCTGCATCTATCTGAGTTGACAATGGTTTCACTTTACTGGAAGAGATGAGAATTTTGCTCATGGTTTGCTCAAAATGATTCGAGTTACCAGCCGGCGCAACGACAGAAGGATGAAGCGAAGGCATATACCGAAATCGGCACTAAACGGGACCTAGGGGAATCATGCCTACGTTTAAAAGCCGGATACGGGGAGTATGGACCCGGTACTGAGCTCAGTGGTCGACTTACACCGTACTGGATCTGGAAGTCGTCTCTTCGATCAGCAAACTCCACGTCAAACCTGCTTCGCCGCTGTCTTTCGCCGTTGTCCTAATGGTCATGATAGCTGCGTTGCAAGCAGCACTGACCGCTCGGGCCTAGCGTTGCAAGCTGTACCTTGAACATTGGGAGAGATGGGGCAAAAGACGTATTGGTCTGATGAGCAATGGAAGAATTGCTTCTCTTGGAGTTCCTTTTTGGTACAACACGATCGACTGCGACGATGTCTCACAACAGATACGGTTTTGATCACGACTCGGAGCCATCACGACGTTGCTAGGATCTGGGCAGGTCCGAGCTGAAGTAAGTTCTGGCCAGATGAAGGAATTCCTCGCTGAGCGCGACGCAAGGAAGATGAGCACGGCCAACATCACAGACCGTATCACGCTCCCTTGCCAAGTTTTCTTTTCTCTTATGTCGGGATGTCATCCGGAAACGAAGATCCAGAATTTAGGGCAAGTCGACCAAGGCGATCCGTGCCCTGGCGCGGGATGCTGCATGGATAAGACAATCAATATTGCAGATTCTCGATTGGCGACCTGGACTGAGGTTCCAGCTACAGATCATAAATTTTGCATTGGACGAGACACTGATTAGGAGTGTTCATATCGCCCGGACCCAGCGGTCTTGGATCTTGTTATTATCGTGATTGTGAAATATCTGAGACGGGGTCGCGTGGTTTTGCTTTTGATGCCCCGGATCGAAGACGCCAGACTCGCGGTCTTGGGATAGTCAAGAGATTGGGGTGCTTTGACAGCAGGGCTTACGCGTGGAAGTGGTATTATATTCTTTTTTTTTTGTTTTTGTGAGAGACTAAACCATCACAGACCTGATTAGACGAAGGGATATGTCGAATGCCGAGATTAAGGAGATATCATTATTGAGACATTACACAGAGCCCTCTTCAAAGACTTCGGTCTAGATCTTGCGGCGTGGTTTTCACCATGCAGAGGATGACAAGTAAGCTTGTACTATGGATAGCATAGCTTGAAAAACGGTCATGGTTGCGATGGCGTTGTCTGCTACTAAAAGTCCCTCGGTGATTCCATCGATGATATTCCTTTGCCGGGGCTAATGAGAGACGGAAGTCAAGTAGCCGTACATTCGGAAGAAACAGGGTTCGTGGGCTGGATGGCCGAGGTCCTTACCTCACAGAAACCCGGTGGCTTCATCGTTACCTCTCCCGGTGCAATCTTAACGCCTCAAGTGACGAATTAAACGAGATGGAAGCGAGATGGAAGGAAAACCAAGGCTGGAGACTGAGTCTGGGGTTGTCAAGTTTCAAGCCGTTCGTGAAGAAGCATCTTTGGCTGGTGCTTGCTTTGCTCCAACGACCTAGTTGTCGATCCGTTGTCCTGACTGAATTACACACTATCTTTCCAGGCGGACCTACGTAGCTGGCATTCTCTACTACCAGACATGCCATTCGCCTGGCAGCTAGCGGGCATCCGATTGGGTTATCAAATGAGAGACTCGACGTTCCGGGGGCGAAAGGAAGAGAACGGTCCGACTGGGCACGAAAACTGTTGAGGGGCGGTCGATGTTGGAGGACGGTCTCAGCCCACGGTAGACGGACGCTCAGGTCACTTTGGACCGACGCTGCAGTGAGGTTGAGTGCGGGGCAGCTGCAGGCTCCGGACCAGACCGGGGCCGCTGAGGGCCCCACCGGAACTGCTGATTGTGTGCTGCCACTCTCCACTCTCCACTGCCAACCTGCTGCTGCTGCTAACTTGGTAGGTACTCGGCCTGCCAGCGGCGGCACTCTGGCGGCACTCTCGAGGTGGGCAGCCGCTCCTCCTGCGCAGCCCCTCTGCCCCTCCATGAGACAAGCGCAGCCCACCTCGCGCTGGAGCTTTTGACGTGACCCAACCCTGAGGTCTTTTTACCACTACGAAGCTCCTGTCCGAACTCATCCTGCGTCATTTACACCCAAGTCTTCAATCTGATCTTTTACTCCTGACGGAAACCCAGACATATCCAATCCTACCAAACCTCCCACGTATCACCACATCACCACCAATTGCCCAACATGGCTCGCAAGTTCTTCGTCGGCGGCAACTTCAAGATGTAAGTTTTGTCCCAATGGCGGGGTCGACGATCTCTGCACCACCCTACCGGAGAGGGGCAGCCTGGAAGCTGCGGCCTCAGCCATAACATCGTGAGACTGACAAACATCAACCCCGCAGGAACGGATCCGTTTCCGCCATCAAGGAGATTGTCCAGAATCTGAACAACGCCAACCTCGACTCTAACACCGGTACGTGCCATGTCGTCCCAATACTATCCCACCCGTGAGCTCCTCTGACAGTCTGCAGAGGTCGTCGTCTCCCCTCCCGCCATCTACCTCCAGCTCGTCCGCGACCAGCTCCGCAAGGACGTCGAGGTTGCAGCCCAGAACGTCTTCGACAAGCCCAACGGTGCCTTCACCGGCGAGATCAGCGTCTCCCAGCTCAAGGATAGCAACATCAACTGGGCCATCCTCGGTCACTCTGAGCGCCGCACCATCCTCCGCGAGTCCGACGAGGTCGTTGCCTCCAAGACCAAGTACGCCACCGAGAACGGCGTCGGCGCCATCTGGTGCTGCGGTGAGAGCCTCGAGGAGCGCGAGGCCGGCACCACCGTCGAGGTCGTCAGCAAGCAGCTTGCTGCCCTCAAGGCCGCCATCTCCGACTGGTCCAAGGTCGTCGTTGCCTACGAGCCCATCTGGGCCATCGGCACCGGCAAGGTCGCCACCAACGACCAGGCCCAGGAGGTTCACGCCGCCATCCGCGCTTGGCTCAAGAAGGAGGTCAGCGACAAGGTTGCCGACGAGACCCGCATCCTCTACGGCGGCAGTGTCAACGAGAAGAACTGCAAGGACCTCGCCAAGGAGAAGGACATTGACGGTTTCTTGGTTGGCGGTGCCTCCTTGAAGCCTGGCTGTGAGTATTTCTGGTGCACCGTCATGAATAGACAGCTAACACGCCGCAGTCGTCGACATTGTCAACGCCAAGCAGTAAACAAACCAGATTACACACTTGATGATGATGACCTAAAATCAGGCCGTGACGGGCCGGGATAGACCCAGGATGACCCCCAAGTGACCATTTGTAGTCGCCAACTCCTAAGGTCGTAGAATTGAATAAAAATTATACCCCGACAATTGACGTTGGTTGGCCCCTGTGAGGTATTTGTGATTCTTGAATTTTGAGTGCTTAAAGGGGTACTCTTTGCCCTCCCTGACGGGTCAATGTCCATATGGTACACACAGTAAAGTAGCTCCCGCTTTCTTCCTGTTCACGCCTAGTTCCTTTCGTAATTTTACAACCTTGTCCGAATCGATACGCTCATGCCCCTCATATTTATACAGCCATGCCATTACCGTGGTAAGGACTCCAGACACCTCTGACACTGGGGTTGATACTGTTGACCGGCTTGTTGACTCTCTTCAACTTCTCTCCGTTGGCGTCGCGAAGAAGTTCAGCCTTCTTCAAGATCTCGATTGGCTCCATATTCCGAACGCAAATGGCCTTCTCGCGGCCGTTGATGTAGTGGCCGACAATGATGGGGTGTTTCGACGGACGAGGAGAGATGGTAAACTCGACTTGGGGGTTTGCAGCCGCGAACTTGGGAAGTTGGGACTTGATGAAGCCGCTAGATGATTGTTAGCAAAGGAACTCGATACTGTCGTTCTGGGGAATTGGCGTACTTCATTCCCTTGGAGCTGCCGGCCCAGTCGCAGTAGTGAAAGTCCAGCTTCTTGCACTGGAGGATGAAAGAGCCGAGGCCATTCTGTCGGGGCGTCAGCAACAGTACCACAGTACACTCATCTTCTAAAGAACTTACACGGCCGGTAGACACCGTCTTCAATGCCTTAATCGTCATGGTATCCTGCTTGGCGCACAGAATCCCATTCGTAGTCTGGATCACAAGAGGCTCCTTTCCAGGGACGGGGAAATTTCTTAGCGCGAAAATGCAAGATGCAGCCTGAGGTGACAGCTTGTGGAGGTACGTACCCTCCATGGAAGCTCTGCGACCAGGATGGCTTCGGCTGAACCGCGGCGATTGGCCAAAGCCAGGCTGCTGCACCACAAAGTTTCCCATGCTCGTGTCAATTTCCTCTACTTGTACCTTACCTGAAGACGCGCTGCTCCCTTTCCAAATCCATCCTATCCCATCAAGCTCCGTCGATGCATCATTAGCTAAGGCGCGACGCATCTCATCCGAGCCGACGACACTTCACCCATCGGGCATTTGACGAAGAGCAACTACAGCGATGACGGATAAGCTCCCTCCTAACCTGTTGGCGCTCTTCGCGCCGCGCCCTCCTCTGCGATGGGTTGCGCCCCCCGACCATGCGCCTGAGGCTCGACGAACCCTCCCCGTCTCAGGACTCGCCGAGTTCCTTCCCGCGCTTCAGCAATACAAGGAGGAGGACGAATACAAGCCGACAGAAAGTTGGCTTCAGATGCGCGACCGCAAGAAGCTCGAAAAGGTGGCAGCCGTTGAGAGGCTCAAGACCGAGGGGCCGAAGGACTGTTGGTTTCCCTAGTCACTATCTATCGAGAGTCCATGCTAACGTCTCCACCATCTAGTCAAGCCGCACGAGGACTCCAACATTCGTGGCGACGCTTTCAAGACGCTGATTGTTGCGCGACTCTCGTACGAGGCCAATGAGCAAGACCTCGAGAGAGAGTTTGGTCGATTCGGCCCCATTGAGCGCGTATGTGTCCCCCAAATACATCTGTATACCTCGAGCCGAGCTAACTTCTTCTCTAGATCCGCATCATCACTGACACGCATGCCCATGAGAGACCGAAAAAGAAGAAGAAACCCCACCGAGGGTACGCTTTTGTAGTATTTGAACGAGAGAAAGACATGAGAGGTAATACCGCCGAACTCACCCCCTTCGACAAGACTCGGCTTGTTCGCCAGTCATTCCCCTTCAGACGCGCGGCCCTCAGGCTTGCCCGTGTTCTTCACTGCACATCGAGATCTGTGGCCCTCAAGCTTGCCCATCTCAAATCATGTTTTTCATTCTTCTTACCCAGTCACGATGCAAAGGTATGACATTGCTAAGGTTTTACTGACACACGCGCCTTGGCGCACTGGTGAGTAGCTGCTCTAGATGCCTGCGATGGTATTCGAATCAAAGACCGACGTATCAAGGTAGACGTCGAACGGGGCCGCACCGTCAAGGGCTGGGTGCCCCGCCGATTCGGCGGCGGCCTCGGTGGCAGAGGGTACACCAAGGCTCTTCCTGCCCGTCCCATGGGCGGCGGCGGCGGACCTGGTGGCAACTTTGGCGGTGGCTTCCGAGGAGGTTTCCGTGGCGGCTTCGACGGAGGTCGCGGACGCGGTGGCTTCAGGGGAGGCGGTGGAGGTTTTGGCGGCCGTGGTGGCTTCCGTGGTGGCGGCGACTTCGGCTCCAGGGGTGGTGACCGCGGACCAAACGGATACGGCGCACCCAGAGACGCCCCCTCGGGACCAGGTCGCGGCTTCGGAGGTGATCGTGGCGACCGAGGCGACCGCAGCTTCTCCGGCGGTGGGTATGACCGTGGTGGTGGCCGCTCATTTGACGACAGATCCGGCGGTGGCGGCGGCGGCGGCGGTGGCTACCGTGATGGAGGCCGTTTCGGCGATCGGGATCGTGACGGTGGCCGACGGACTGGAAGCAACATGGAGCCCATCAGACCTAGAGGGGAAGGTGGGTATCGCGACCGGGGTGACCGCGGAGATCGAGGCGACAGAGAGGACCGAGACCGCGGCCGAGACAGAGACAGAGATTACGACCGACCTCGCGATGACGACAGCAGGAAACGAGGCTACGAAGGCGGCGGCTACGAGGATCCTCGCAAGTTGCGTCGTTACTGACGAGACACTTAGTGTCTTGCGGTGGGTGACGACTCGCTCGTCTCTTCTTTCAGTCTCTTTTCTTCTTCCCCTTCTCTCTCGAGGGTAAGCAGAAGGCGTCAAGCGCGAAACTCAAGTATCTCCATGTTCGGATCAAAGGAAGCTCGAACAATAAGCTTGGGGCAAGTATACGCAAATACCAGGCACGCCAGCATCCATAACCAGACCATCACGCGGACCGCCAACTTCCAATGAACTGATTCAGCTTTTCGTTGAAAGGTAATCTTTCGCCACGTGCATACAACACCCGCCAGGAATACGACTGCCATTGCAACCTCGCCAATGGCTCGATGCTGTAGGTAAGGTCAGAGGTAAGGGACTCTGTGCCTACTGACCTGGAGCTTAGTGAAGGGAAGTTCGCATGGGAAACAATCAAAAGGATAGAGTAAATCCGCATGTACCACGTTATAATTACTTGTACAAATAGGTGAGGACCATTAGTATCCGTTGTAGCTTTCTATCTTCCGGCTCCTCGGGTTGTGACTAGTCGATGCCGGGAGCATATATTCTCTCATCCCAAGAGTGCCATCTGTGAACAGATGCTGCCGCCTCGATGGAAGGAAAAAAGACTTGTCGAGAGGTCCACTCGAACTCGGGATCTTTTGAAATCCTGATAGTATTCGATCTGATGTACAGGTACTTTTGTACAAGGGTGTGGTACGGCGGGAGCATCAGCCAGCACCAAAAGTTGTATGACGAAAAATGCCCAAAAAACGAACTACCCATGGCATTATGTAGAGCCAGCCCGGCCTGCCTCTTTGCCATATTCATGGCAAGGGAGAGTAAAACTGTTCGGCTATCGACTACAACGGATGCTGCTCGTTGAAAGAGTATCGCACTTCTAGTCCCTATAATGGTACCAGCGTCGTCCACTGCCTTTTTGCTTCCTTCCCATTCACCCCAGACACGGAAGAGACAAATCAGTGTAGAAGAGACTGATGTGGAAGAGATTGATGCTGTGACGCATGACTTTTTAATAATAATCTAGTGAAAACCCCCGCCCGTTAAACGCCGTAAAAAGTTGTTTTTGTTTGGTCCCACCCCTTTTCGCAATCCATGATGGTATCAAGCCTACATGAGGAAAGCAAATTCATCAAAAGTCTAGAAGCTTTCTTTTCGTTTTGTTTTTTTACGTTCTTTTGATCATAGCAATTGGCTGTGTTTAGTCGCTCTCGACCTCGACGCCGTCCATGGCGTTGGGGTTCACCTCGGTCACTTTGCCTGATGCAGAGCTCCAGTATCTGCGCACAGCAATGTCAGTAACTCTATAATCTTTGATCTGTATGGGGGGGGGGGGGGGGGGGGGGCGCATTGAGGCCAAAGGCGAAAAGGAAAAAAAGGAGAAAAAAGAGACTTACGCAAGAACCTTGACCTTGAACTCGCTCAAACAAATCCCAAACAGCTTCAACAGCCTCGTCTGCCGGCTATCAAGCACATCTCCCTCCTTGCAGACGGTATACCCTTCGCCCTCACCAGAATCATCGCCACCGAGACAGACGCGGCCCTTGACCATGCGCGTGGGCATGCCCAGGCGACGTAGCTCGGGCTCGATGCTGTGCTCCATGGGCACGTCGTGCTCGGCGGGGACCTCGCCGCCGGTGGCGTAGACGACGCCCGACGGGATGACGAAGTCGCGGGTCGCGACGGTGCCCGCGCGCGCGAAATCGACTGGGCTCACGCCGTCAAAGTACTCGAGGATGGAGGCCGGATCGCGGTTGGTGAAGATTAGGCCGACGGTGCCGGCGAGGAAGGGGGTGAGGCGCTCGATGCCGTCTGCGACGGCGGAGGAGGGGTCTTGGCCTAGGGCTTTGGCCATGAGTTTTGTCTTGCCGAAGAAGAGTCTATTGTACGGTAACGTCGGGAGGTTAGCTTGAGGTTGTCTTGTATCTTGTGATATGTTTCCGTTCAAGAACCAGTGTATCTGCCAAGGTGCATGACCATAGGTACGATATCACGGGTTGGAAAGGACTCGGAGAGCGAGGGAAAAAAAACTTATAAAATAACGGACCTGCAGTCGTTGAGCTCGTGGCGGACCTCCTTGAGATAGTTGTTGCGCATGTTGTTGACGCCAAAGACGAAGCAGTGCTGGTACTGCGGCACCGACTCGCGAATGTTGGAAAAGAGCTTGTCCTTTTGCTCGCGCGTCTTCTTGTTCACCTGGGTCAGGTTGACCACTCTGTTGCGCTTTGACTTGGGCATCTTGGCGGTGTTGTGCTAGATCGTCTTCGCTCTCTTGAAATAAACTATTTCTTTTTCGAAAGATCCTCAATCGCTGTAGAGGACGTTTTGTGGGAGGCTCCGGCGAGGTAGTACGTCGAGTCCGGAGGGTGGTTGGTGGGAATCGGCGCAAATCGTCGAGGTTTCGCGGGCACTACTATTCAATGGGAAATATTTCTGGCCGACCGCCTTTGGCACAAAATTTCCCAAAATTTTGGCGCCCAGGGTGCAGGAGGGACCGCCGCCGCAACTTTTTTTTTGGAACCCCGCAATGCGCTAGGTGGAACGATTATCCGCAGGGTCTTTGGCAGGGGTGTCATGGACCGTCACCGAGCTCACCGAGTACGGATCGAGTGGTCAGTGCACCGGTGAAGGAAGGCAGGCATTCTGTACGGATATTAGAGCCAACTTCAATTACACTGCTCCATTTTCATCACTCTCACTAGCGATGCCTCAGGTAGAGCTATGCCACTCACCGTTCGCACCCACTGTAAGGAGTGAATCATGCTCTATCCTCAACAACAAGTACCGGACCACATGGCCGAGGGGTCACGAAGTGCTGGCTGGAACAGTGATGCTCCTGTTCCTTCCAGGACTCTGGCCTTCAAAACTCGGGTGGTCCGTTCTTTTTTGATTTTCTAGTTGTCTGTAATCCTTTAGATTTTTACCCGCCACTTTACTGGCCATCCAGCGTCACTTTCAATGAGTTCATGTATCTACGTGGACAAATCAATCATGCCATCTCCTTGTCTTCCCAGCGTGCTCTTACGCCCTCCGCTGGGTACGGGCGAGTCCCTTCCGCTATACCAACCACCGCTCTATGCCAAGTACGTGTAAGTATTGCCCTCGCGTTCCAAGTAATCCTTGTCAATCAGGCTATTAAGAGGGTTAGCAACGCTCCATCAACCGTACGGAAGTGACTTACTTTTCTATTTCCTTCTTGATTTGCGCCGCATCAACCGCACCTCGGTTCTTGGTCAAGTTGATCACCTCCGCAACCAGCTCGCCGTGGCTCATCTCCTTGCGACTCTTCATGATGCGCACAATAGCCGCCTGTGTCTCGAACCGTCTGTCCTGGGCAATACGTTCGTGTGTCGCCTTGTTCTCCTCCTTGGTCTCCTTGAGCTGGATTTGGTTAATCTTAATTCGGAGCCTGGGGTGTTGGAACGTCTTGCTAATTGCAAACGTGTCCGTCGAGTTGACATCCTTGCCCTTGGGGCTTTTTGTAAGCACGCGAGTTAGTCCGCAGGCGAGAGACTGCAATGTTCGATTCAATTCTTCTCCCTGCAGATTTGTGGAGCGGGCGATTTGTTCGTAGCTCAGGAAGCCTTCGATGCCGACCTCGTTGAAGAGGACAAGGATGATGGCTTGATACGCGCTGACCAGAAGCTCCTTTGTACCCTTGGGGAACTTTGCCTTGACAGTGCAGTGCGCCAGCGCGTGTTTCCAGTTGAGCAGTCTCCCTGTGTGCTTGTTCTTGTAGTACTGGTCGAATCGCTCAATCTGCTTGGCAACATCGTCTGGCAAGTGAACCTTGACGTCGGGGTACGTTGGCCAAGCCGCCTGTGATAGGATCATAACCGATAGGTCGACAGGGGCTTTATCCACGCCTGTGCCTTCTGACCACTGCTTGTATGCTTCCATTTCTTCTTTGGCCACCTCGACGTCCTTGAACATCTGTTCTAGATTGTGGGTAAAGTTCATACCACACTCCTCTCGGAGCTTCCTTAGCATATTCCGCTCGGCATCCTGACTAGCGCTTCTGCCCATGAGAAGACGGCGAGCCAGGTCTTTCTTGTAGAACGCCTCGAATGCGTCCTTGCCTTCAATGAACCGGAAGAGCTCCAGAGCTTGGTCCAATTGCCGGTCGAGCTCGGCGTCTTCGTCGCCGGCGCTAGCTATGCCGCTCTGCTCCGCCGCAGCTCGGTCTACGTTATCTGACAGAAGTGTTTTTGGCAAAGCCTTGATCCCACCGCGAAGCAGCATATCGACGTACTTGGCAATCATCTCGCCGACCTTAGACGTTCCAGAGCTCCATGTCGTTGCGATGCTGCGATCGTTCATGAAGTCTCCAAAGGCGTTCCTGAGCTCGTTGACGAAGTCTTGATCGCCGCCGTAGGCGTCGCGCACGATGAGGCTTAGTGATCTCTTGAGTTCGAGAAGCCTCTGGACCATGTCATCACCGCGTTCCTTGTCAGCAACAATTGCAGCACCCGTATTCTTGATATACGTGCTCCAGGGTTGCTTGAGCTTCTTCTGGATATCGGAGAGTCGCAACAAGTCGTATAGGGCCTTCATGGAGTCCACCTCGTGGTCGGAGAGGAGCTTGGAGAGACTCTCACTGTTGAGAAGCTTGTCGGAGTACTTGTTCACAAGGATGCCGTGCGCGGCGTCGAGCAACTGCTTCTTGGTTGTTGAGTCCAGGTTGTACTCATTGCAGCGGTAGTCCTCCTTCTTCAACAGTCTTTCGCACGCCGAGATATACTCCTTCAGGCTTGACGCGCTCCTTTCCTCTGCGAAATCCTCAAAGAAAGCTTCTGATAGTTCGATGAACCGGGGCTCAAAGTATTTGGTGTAAGTGTTGAACACGTGAAGCATCATGACTGAATCCTTGAGTAATGTCGCTTCGAACCGCTCGTCCCCTGTTCGGTCGTACGAAATCAGGTCGTACATGCCCCGTAACGCCCTGCCACCGGGAGTCTGTCCATCTGGGTCGTCTCGAGCGGGGAACGCCATCCTCCTGAACTGCGAAATGGTCATGTCGTTGATGGAAGGGTGGTTCTTGTTCTTTATGAGGTAGGTACGGTCAAGGTAGGTGAAGGTAGACCGAATCGTCATCTATCAAGTGTTAAAACCAGGCCAGGGGTTGGCAACCACCTCATGGACTCACAATCTGACCATTCCACACCCTCCAGTGCTCGAGAACACTCCTAAGCATGTCGGCATCTGTGTTACCGGCGCGAGACTTGATTGAACGCAGCACATCCTGGGTGAGGTGCTCCTCACACTTTCGCCGCAAGGTCTCGTACAGCTGCAAGTCGCTATCTTGGCCGCGCCTGCATATATCCTCCACGGCCCGAGATAGCCTTTCCAGCGGCAGCTTCGGCTTGCGTCCGCTAAAGATCTCGTGCAGAGCATCAACCAATTCCTGCTCGGTCCGCTCGTAGTACTTTTCCAGCTTCTCGTTGGTCGCCGAGTGTCGAAAGTTCTTGATGACCAGCTTCTTCGCGCCCGTATATGGCCGGTAGGAGTTGGACTGCGTCAGGTCAATGACCTCGGGAAGCTTGCCCTTCATCTTGATAGACATGGTATTGTGAGAGGGAGGGTCGTCGGCGCCAAACTTGAAGCGCTTCGGACTCGGTCTGTTGGACTGCTGCTGGTGCGGGGCGACGGAACCGGAGCGCGAGACGTCGGAATCTTGGCGGGGTCTTCGGCGTAGAGGGTTATTGTTGTCGTTGATCGGCGCTGAGCCGCCTGTCCTTCCCGTCGCCCGTGATGGCAAAGCTCCCTCGACTGCGGGGGGTGAATTCGACGGCATGGACCGTGTGGTCCTGCAACAACTTTTGTCCAAGCTGTTACAGACCTACTATGCGCTCTCGTGGAGATGGGATGGTGTGGGCAGGTGGATGGCCAGGGGGAAATCGCAGGCGGATGTCCTCTTTCGAGTCCTCTTTCGAGTGAATTTTCGGGTGTTTGCAGAGAAGCTTGTCACAGAGAGGTTGGGGAGTACCGAAGTCGTGATTGCGGGAAAGTTGTCGCGGAGTTAAACGCGGAGCTATGAACGCCATTAACAAATCACCACCACGGTCGTTAGCATCATCCATTTAGCACATCCCCTTATCGTCGGTGACAGGGATTAGATAAGGCAAGACACGGACCCCACCACACCTCGTCGTTCGGTTCCATGTCACCAAACGGTCCCCACCACAATAAACGCCCGATCGTCCCCGGGGCCACTCCACAATGGCCTTCACTCAAGGTGCCATGGCTTTGGATATTACCTTGTAAGAGAAAGCTGCCATGTAATCGCCTGTTCGAAACAGCAATGAGTAGATACTGCAATAGTGTGATGTTTGGATATGCGTTTGTAGCGAAAAGCTTTTGTGAAGACCCCCCTTTTTTCTATTTTTTTTCTTTTCTTTTGGTCCTCTAGAGGCACAGAGAGAGGCACAGGCGTAATCGCCTTTTCAAACTCGATAGATATATCTTACACATGCTACATTATTATTACTGAAAGTATTACAAATCTGAGATTTGAATTGTTCATTATCTATGCATACGCTGCCCATCCCGAGTAGAGAACGGCAAGGTTACTCAAGTCGGTCGCTTGGTTAATCAGGTCGTTGACCGTCGCTGTTACGCTCAACGTCTTTGACAGCTTCTTCCGAACCACCTCCAAAGCCCGGTCAGCCTCCGACGGCTCATTAACCTGCTGCCCTTTCTTGCCCTTCCTACCGTCTTCATCACCTTCGTCGCCGTCCGTGCCAAATTCACCACCCTGTAGTTTTGCCAGGCGGACGGGTGAAATGGACCATGAGTACAAGGGATCGTAACGAAGGACGTCAAGTATCGTCATGATCGAGTATGTCTCTTCACGCAAGGCATGCAGTGTGAACTCACAGCAGCGCCGGAAGACGCCCTCGGTTCCAGTACTACCCATCCCGTCCACAATGTCTCGCGTCAGCCGGAACGGGACGAGCTCTGGTACGGGAAGAATGCGTCCCATCTCAAATGCGACACCCAGGTCGATATGCACGACCTCACCCGTCTTGCTATCCAGCAGAATGTTGTGGCCATGCCTGTCGCCGAGACCGAGCACATGGCCAAGCATTGAAATAGCTGCAGTTGTACGTGTGTATGCGAGGCGCTTGACAAACCAATCGTCAGGATCGACAAAGTTCTCCATGAAGAAGTACTTCATCACGGGATGGAACTTGTCCATGACTTTTCGATAGGCGGTAATCCGAGCCTCGACGGTCTTACCCTGCGCGTTTGAGATCTCTTTCCTACATTGAGAGCCCTTGAGATCTTTGGGAAAGTACCTCTCGTGGGCTGGCATAAGATACTCGTGCAAGGGAATAGTATTAGGGACAAACTCGATCAGCCCAGATGCCGATGTGAGAGGAAGGACCTTGTACGTGCGGATCCCGAGGTTTCTCTGCTGTGCCGAGCGATGTAGTTTAAGAAGATCCGACACAGCCGCGAAGACCTGCTCC